GGTAAACCGTACGGGTTGACAGCGATATGATGGTGCTGATGTTGCTGCAAGCGATGATGCTACTGTGGGTCATGATGTGCTGTTGCTGCAAGTGATGCTCTTACTGCTGCTGTTGCTGCAAGTGATGGCGGTGATGTTGGTATACGGTGCTTTTTCTGGAAGACTTTGCTGTTTTTTCCTGGATTTTTCTGTTGCGCATAGTCACTTTAAGATGTTTCTTGTTCATGTTTTTGTTTGTTGCGGTTGCAACCGATTCAAGAGCCGCATGGCTCACAGGACTACCTAATAAATGAACTGAACTGAATGTGGGTGCAGAAGCTAATGACGATGCTATACTTGCTGTTCCTCGTAATGCTGCGCGTGATGATGATGATGCTAGTGATGATGATTATAATCATGCTGCTGTTGCTAGTGCTGCTGCGAGCGATGATGATGCAGTTGCTGATGCTAGATATGATTGCGATGCTTCTGTTGCTAGTATGGTGATGATGATGTAGATGCGTGCGATGGCGCTCCTGCAAGTGTGGGTGATGAGGATGATGTCGGTGATGATGCTGATGCTGCTGACGCTGTTGGTTTATAGACCTATTTAACCAGGAGGTGACATTCACCCACCGAGACGCACTAAGCAGCAGCCGCGTCTATCGCCTCTCTTGGCAAGGGCGACCTGGGACGATCGGAGCGCACAACACGCGACACGAATATTTACATTGAACAGCCGAAGGGCTGCAGCACGAGGAGGTGGAGGAGAAGGATACACGGAAGAGGAATGTGGATGAAGAGGGTGAACAAGAAGAGGTGGAGGAGGAACAAGAAAAGGAAACGAAGGAAGGGAACAGGAGGTGGTGGAGAAGATGGAACAGGAGGAGGTGGATGAAGAGGAGGAGGTGGTGGAGGAGGAACAATACAATGAGGAGGGGTGGAACATGAGGAGGTGGAGGAAGAATGGTAATGAGGAGGTGGAGCAGGAACTAGAAAAGGAGGATGTGGAACAGGAGCAGGTGGAGGAAGAGGGGCGGGGAGAGGAGGAGGTGGGAGGGGGTGGGTGGCCGGGCGACGCTCCAATTTCTCTCGGCATCGTTAGGATCTGGGGAGGCCGCGTCCATCACAGGGACTGTTCTCTCTCTCTCTCTGCCTCTCTCCCTCCTCCTTCACTCCTCTCTCTGCCTCTCTTTTTTATGATCAGAGGAATCAAGAAGATGCTCGGTTTAGTCGGCACTTTGCTTTGTTCATCATGTCGGTTTTTTTCCTTGCTTTGCTTTATGTGTGTAGTGTACTAATCCACATACACCAGTAGGAGGTACTCACTCTCTTTTATTCCGGCCTTCACAGCCTTTGAGGATAACCACATACCGGGTCGGGACAGCAAACATGCTGCCAGACCCACAGCTTGAAGAGGCCGAAGATCACGATGATGACAGCACGACGAGTTCCATTCCAGATCCCAGCAGCCCCGACTGTGAGTCGGAGCTCGCCTTTTATCTTGCCCAGCGTGGCCAGGCTCCGCCCTCGGCCCCACACTCGTCTGGATCCCCCAGAAGGCTCCGTTTCTTGCCCACAGGTCCAATTGGTAGAACGGGCTGCTACCCCAAATTCCATTGTCTACCAATCTCCCAGCGGCACGCGCTACAGTGACTCATTCAATGTCACTACATGTGCAAAGCAAGATTTTCTGTGTTTTTCCAACAATCTGTGCCATTTTCTTCATAGACAAAACACCAACATGAAGAAGCACGCTCTGCTCCTCCTTCCCCCTTCCCTATGTCTCTACCCCCTCTCTCTACCCCCTCTCTCTACCTCCTCTCTCTACCCCTTCTCTATCCTCTCTCTCTTAACCTACCTCCCTACTCTCTATATTTCCCCTGTTTTCTATGTAATTTTTTTTAACTATGACAACTGCTGCATCTGCACCCAGCCCTTCTCGCAGTCCTACGGCCTCCGATGGGTAGCTCATATCTCCATGCAGAGCTCTCCATCTTCTGCCACCGAGCACACGGCCTCCTCCAGCGCCCACTGCTCCTTGAAGGCCGGCACAGCGTGGGTCAGCCGCGCATGGCGGAACTCCAGCCACACCCTGGCTCCGACCAGAGCGCGGAAGATGCCCAGGCTGCTGGCCGGACGTTTCCCCTCCATGGCCACCTTCCTCGCCCTGTATATGGCGAGCTTGGCGTAGCCAATGAGTATGTTGACCAGCCCCTGAAGATGTTGGGGTCTGTCGCCCTTCGGGGAGAAGTGGAGGCTGAACCTTAGGAGGATGTTTCTCAGGACCTTGAACAGCGAGTCCAGGCTCTTGCACTCCACGTATCGGTGCGCCACCGTCTCCACTTTACCGCAGAACCGACACTCCGGGGACGTGTCGGTGAAGCGCGCCAGGGAGGCGTTGGTGGTGACTGTGCCATGGGCAATGCTCCAGCTGAGGTCGCCGATGCGGTTGTACGTCGGGCGGAGTAGAGTTGCCTCCAGCGAGGCCTCTCCGGAGAGATGCAGGGCAGGGCTTTCCTCCAGGCATGGTCCTTGTGGCTCCTCAGGGTGTCCTGTTGGTGACACCGGACCATGTAGGAGTAGAGCACCTTCCTCTTTACATTTGCGAAGGCCACCTGCAGTAGGTCTTCCAGCCGGCACAGGTCGTGATCCGCCTTCGTTTGTCGGCATTGGCGATGCAGCGGCACGATGGAGAGCTCCGGTGGAGGGGGACCGATAGAGGCCTCGTCATCCCAACGCCGATGGGGGCGTTCTCCCCGCTGCCGCTGAGAAGGACCCCTTAGCTTCGGCCAGGATCCGGGCAGCCACCCGGAGCGACTACAGCCCTGTCTTTGCAGCCATGTCTGCTGGTCTGAGCCACTGGCCCCGTGTTCCAGGCTCCACCAGATCTCCCATTCTGGTAAGCCACGCGTTGGCGAGGCGCCTCTGCATGCCGGGGGTGGCAGTGGTGGATGGCAGCTTTGTCTGTGGGTTCCTGAGGATCGGTTCGAAGACCAGATCCTCGGCCGATCGCAGCTGGTTCAGCCTGATGACGGCGAGGGAGCTCCTGTAGAAAGGTGGCAGCTGTCCCAGTGGGAGGCCCTGCAGGTCTATGTAGAATAGTTGTTTGGAGCACTGCAGACCCCCCAGCTGTTTCAGGAGGAAGGAGGCCGTGACGCTCCAGGCCGGTGCAGAGGCGGCGTGCAGAAACTTTTGCGCGGCCTGAGTCGGAAGGTGGCTAGCTGACTCCGCACGCACACCAGCCCGTGACCGCCCTCGTCCAGTGGCAGGGCCAGGACCCCAGCCGCGACCCGGTGTCCTCCGCCCGACCAGAAGAAGTCGAGGACTCGCTCCTGAAGCGCGTTGACGAGGCTCATGGGGGGGTGCAGGGAGAAGAGTCGGTGCCACAGCATGGACGTCACCAGCTGGTTCACCACCAACGTCTTTGTCCTGAAGATGAGGAACTTTCACAGGCGGCTCCAGGTGGCCAGCCGCTCCTTGACCTTCTCCTGCAGCTCGACCCAGTTTCTCTGCGGTGGTTCCTCCTCTGGTCCCGGGAACACCCCCATGTGGTGTAGCAGCGATGTTGTGCTCCAATTGATGGCTTTTGCCTTCTCGGGACACTTGGTCATGTCCCACGCTCCAACCAGCAGCCCGCTGCACTTTTGCCAGTTCATTTTTGATGAGGAGGCCTTCGAAAAGATCTCCTGGCACTCGTGCAGCAGGGCGACATCATCCAGGGAACACAGAATGAGGAGGACGTCGTCGGCGTATGCCGTCAGGACCAACTTGACACTTGGTTCCATGATCTCTCTCCCTCCTTCACTCCCCTCTCTCCTTTTTTACGATTAGAGGAAACAAGAAGATGCTCGGTTTAGTCGATACTTTGCTTCGTTCATCATTTAGTTTTTTTTTTCAATGCTTTGCTTCATGTGCACCCCCCCTCCCTCTTTTTAAATGAAATATTTTACGTGTTTTACCATTGTGCAACAAAATCAATCTGTGCTACTTTCTTCGTGGACACAAACACCAACACGAAGAAGCACGCTCTGCTCCTCCTCCTTACCCCTTCCCTATCTCTCTACCCCCTCTCTAACTACCCCACTCTCTCTCTACCCCCTCTCTCTCTACCCCCTCTCTCTCTCTACCCCCTCTCTCTACCCCCTCTCTAACTACCCCCCCTCTCTCTACCCCCCTCTCTCTCTACCCCCTCTCTCTCTCTCTCTACCCCCTCTCTCTCTACCCCCTCTCTCTCTACCCCCCTCTCTCTCTACCCCCTCTCTCTACCCCCTCTCTATCTACCCCCTCTCTCTACCCCCTCTCTCTCTACCCCCTCTCTCTCTACCCCCTCTCTAACTACCCCCTCTCTCTACCCCCTCTCTTCTATGTAAAACAATTTTAAACTACGACAACTGCTGCATCTGCACCCAGCACTCCTCGCAGTCCTATGGCCTCCGACGGCAGCTCTCATCAGCATGCAGAGCTCTCCGTCTTCTGTCAACCGCCTCTCTTCCTCCTCTCTCCTCCTCCTCCTCTTGCCCCCTAATGTTTACCAAATAGCAGGAGAGAGAGTGAGAGTGATGGATAGGAGAGCGGAGTGGAGAGGGAGCGATGGGGAAGAGACAAAGGCGAGAGAGTGAGAGGGGAGGGAGAGTCAGTTCTCCCACTCCATTATATAAGCAAGGGTAGTGCGTGTGCGCGTGTGTGTGCGCGTGTGTGTGCGCGTGTGTGTGCGCGTGTGTGTGCGCGCGCGTGTGCGCGCGTGTGTGCGCGTGTGTGTGTGCACGCGTGTGTGCGCGCGTGTGTGTGCACGTGTGTGTGCACGTGTGCGCACGTGTGTGTGCGCACGCGTGTGTGTGCACGTGTGTGTGCGCACGCGTGTGCACGTGTGTGTGCGCGTGTGTGTGTGCACGCGTGTGTGTGCACGTGTGTGTGCGCACGCGTGTGCACGTGTGTGTGCGCGTGTGTGTGTGCACGCGTGTGTGTGCACGTGTGTGTGTGTGCGCGTGTGTGTGTGCACGCGTGTGGAGCGGCAGTTAGCGCGAGTTCAATTCCCGCTAACGCACAACACCGGTGACGAATATCTGTACCGGTCCTGGGTCTCCTCTAGGTCGGCTCAACCTGAAATGAGTATCTGGTGCGGTGTGTGAGAACATCACCACTGGGGAGACAAAGGCGGCGGGGCGTAGGGGACAAAGATCCCCCGTGTAGCCTTCACAGACTGTAGGGGTAAGTGCTGTTAGCGAGCACCTATGAAGGCCGGCACGGCACACGAGGCGGTGGGTGGCCAACACCACGCCCGTCCATCTTTGTCTCCCTCGTGGCGATGTTTACATATCACACCAGATACTCATTTGAGACAGAGTTGACCTACGGGAGGCCCAGGACAGGTTCAGATAATCGTCACTGGTGTTGGCCGTGAGCGGGAATCGAACCCGGGTCGCCAGGTTCGTAGCACAGAGCGCTAACCGCGACACTACCGCTCCCCACTATACATACATACACACTCGGCACACACACACTCAGCACACACACACTCACAGACACGCTCAAGCACACTTACACACAGAAGGCAGTCTTCACCTCCAAACTGGAGCAAGGCGACCTCAAAGGCAGAGATCCCCCAAGAGTGTGCGTGTGTGTGCTGTGTGTGTGCTGTGTGTGTATGTGTGCTGTGTGTGGGTGTGAGGATTGAGTGTGCTGAGTGCTGAGTGTGTGTGTGTGAGTGCTGTGTGTGAGTGCTGTGTGTGTGTGTGCTGAGTGTGTGCTGTGTGTGTGTTGAGTGTGTGTGCTGTGTGTGTGTGTTGAGTGTGTGTGTGCTGTGTGTGTGCTGTGTGTGTGTGTGCTGTGTGCTGTGTGTGTGCTGTGTGTGTGCTGTGTGTGTGTGTGCTGTGTGTGTGTGTGTGCTGGGTGTGCTGTGTGTGTGTGTGCTGGGTGTGTGTGTGCTGAGTGCGTGTGCTGTGTGTGTGTGTGCTGGGTGTGTGTGCTGAGTGCGTGTGCTGTGTGTGTGCTGAGTGTGAGTGCTGTGTGTGTGTGCTGAGTGTGTATGTGAGTGCTGTGTGTGTGTGTGTGTGCTGAGTGCGTGTGCTGTGTGGGTGCTGAGTGTGTGTGTGGGTGCTGAGTGTGTGTGTGGGTGCTGGGTGTGTGGTGCTGAATGGGTTTCATGGCCAGTGTGTGAGTGAGTGCTGTGTGTGTGTGAGTTTGTGAATGTGTGTGAATTCGCTTCCCGCTCATGGCCACCACCGGTGACAATTATCTGAACCGGTCCGAGGCCTCCCCTAGATCCACTTAGCCTCAAATGAGTACCTGGTACGGTGTGTATCGCCACTGGGGAGACAAAGACGATCGGGCGTGGTGCTGGCCACCCACCCCCTCGTGTGCCATGCCGGCCTTCATAGGCGCTCACTAACAGCACTTGCCCCTACGGTCTTTGTTTCATAGATCTATTCTTTTGTGGGGAAGCGGTGGTCCAGCGGTTGGCACGCTACGCCATCAACTCCGCTTTGATTCCCGCTCAGGGCCAACAGCAGTGAGAATTATTCGAACCGGTCCTGGGCCTCCCCTAGGTCGACTCAACCTTAAGTGTGATGAATAAGCAAATGAGACCGGAATCCCGGCGTGGTGCTTCACCGCCCAACCCAATCGTGTGCCGTGAGTGCCGGCACTCGATAAGCGCTGGCAGCACTTGTCCCAGCAGTCCGTTCGAAGGCTGCACGGGGGGGGGGGGGGGGGCTCTTTGTCTCTGTGTGAGCGCTTTCTGAGTTCTCATTCACCGGTGAGGCAATAATCCTGGCGAGGATTATTTTGCCACCGCAGTGCCGTGAGACTTGCGGAGCACCCACCCCCCATCTCAACATGGGGGTTTCCAGTCGACGGCGGTGCCGCACAACAAGACGCCATTCGCATTCTCTCTCCGTCCGGCTACAGGAGGAGGGCGGAGGGAGTTTTCAACGCGAGAGTTCTACGAGAACCCACCGACTCTGCCCTGCCGGCATGCCCCATGGCCTGCGGTGTTGAACCAGGGCTGTGTGGGATGGCGCTGCGTGATGACGCGGTGGGACAGGAGCCTGTGGTTTGTAATAATAATAACCGCTACTAATAAAGTAATGTAGCAAGATATTCCAACAAGGTCGCCGGCGGTGATGATGATGATGGCGTGATCCACCGTGATAACCAGGGCGGTCTGTCGGATTCGAACCGCGACCCCCTCTGCAGCTGAGGAGGGCAGTGTGACCTTTGCCCTTCCTTGAGTGTGACCGATGATGACCCCCCCCCACGTGGTTCGTGACCCCCAGCACCAGGTCAGACGGAGAGAGAGAGGGGGAGAGAAAGGCCGCAGCCATGTCGGTGAGCGACGTCGGGGAGATGATCGTGCTGAGTGGAGGTGGAGGAGGAGGTGGAGGAGGGGGTGGAGGAGGAGGAGGTGGAGGAGGAGGTTCTCACCAGAGCCTCTCGGGTTCCACCACCGCCGTGGACTCCTCGGCGTCCATGGCGACGTGTCAGCCGCAGAGACCTCTCACCATGGTGAGACGCGGGGGGCACGTGGTGGTGGTGGTGAGGGCAAAGGTTTGGTGAGGATAGGTCAGAGTCCCATCAGTAATGTTTATCCAAGAGAGCCATGCTGAGTCGGAGGACTCTTGTTCAGGAGGGTCCTGTAATGAAATGTTAACTCCCTCACCTGGTATGCAGGAGGTTGTGGGTTCGATCCCAACCCTGTATATTTTAGAGTTTGTGGTGTCTCTTTCCTCCTGGTCGCGTGGATGTTTCTTCTGGACCTCCGGGTTTTCCCTCCACGTTTAGAATCGACAACAACACGCGTTTAGAGTATTTGGCTGCTATAGATTTCCACGTGATGATGAGCCAGTTTGTTGAGCTATCATTTGTGGCCAGGTTGCTACACAGCTCAGCGGGCGTTACCTCATAAAATAAAATAGATTAACGATGTTGAGTCGTCGTGTTTATTATCCACGTGGGGGGGGGGGGGGGGGAGGAAAGCGGAGCACCCGGAGACGACTCCACGCCTCGTGCGAGGGGGCAACGCTCGATCCCGCCGCATACAGATGGAACAGATGGCAATTAGTCCAGAACTTGCTGTGCTGCCTTCTCCTGGCGAGCCAGCAGTACGGCACTTCCTCGACAGACACCGATGTGCTGCACTAGTAACGACTTGGCATGTTCTGTTTACGTGACAAACCTTACTCATTGGCTCACCTACCCACAAACTCACCTGTGCCCACTCACCTGCCCACACTCTCACCTGTACCCACTCACCTACCCACACACTCACCTGTACCCACTCACCTACCCACACACTCACCTTGTGCCCACTCACCTACCCACACACTCACCTGTGCCCACTCACCTACCCACACACTCACCTTGTGCCCACTCACCTACCCACACACTCACCTGTACCCACTCACCTACCCACACACTCACCTGTGCCCACTCACCTACCCACACACTCACCTATACCCACTCACCTACCCACACACTCACCTTGTGCCCACTCACCTATCCACACACTCACCTACCCACACACTCACCTACCCACAAACTCACCTGTGCCCACTCACCTACCCACAAAATCACCTGTGTCTAGGCTATACGGGGGGAGGAGATCTTTGTCTTTGTTTGTACATATAGAGTGCAATAAATATTGCCAACTCGGGGGCAAGCATTGTCTTGCTCGTGGGAACTTACCAGAGTGAGAAACCCGGTCCCATATTTTGGTCGGCAGGTTAATGCCCAGCCAAGTGAGAGACGGAACAACTGGGGCTTTAAGGGGGACACGCTCTGGAAAAGCTATGCCAACGCATTCCGCACTGACAAGCCAATCCGCACGTCCGCCCACCAGTGCCTCGATGAACCGCTCATTCATTCAAAACCAAACGCGTTTCCGGCAAAGGGAGTTTGCGTGATCCGTGCGTGTTTCTGGTTTTTCTTCCTTGTTGCCTTGGCACTCCCCTCGGACCGATTCCCACCGCACAGAAGCTCCCCGCGACCTTCGAACCTCGGGCGCAGCCGATGAGGGTGGCAGAGAGGGGCAGCTTCAAGTCACATGACATCAAGCCCAGTGGGCAAGGTGACTCACTCGGAGCAACAATCACCACCACCGTCGTCGTCATCATCACCACCGTCATCACCATCATCATCACCACCGCCACCACTGTTATCATCACCACCACCGTCCTCATCATCACCACCACCACCGTCCTCATCATCACCACCACCACCGTCATCATCACCACCATCATCATCATCACCACCACCACCACTGTCATCATCATCACCACCACCACCGTCATCATCATCATCATCACCACCACCACCACCGTCGTCATCATCATCACACACCACCACCAACATTACCACCACCAGCAGCAGCCATTATCAATCCACTGCTGGATGAAGGCTTCCCCAAGTCGTCGCCATCTCTCGCTATTGATGCACCAAAGTCCGGCCCGCACGTGCACAACAGTACCATCACCATCGTCGTCATTGTCGTCGTCATTGTCATCATCATCAGCAGCATCATAATCAGCAGCATCGTCATCATCAGCGTCGTTCTTTTCATTTATCCAATGGTGAACAAGAAAATGTAATCGAGGGTGAGATCCATTTATAGATATCCCGCCGACATAACAGGGATACGATGGGTGGGTGGTGGTGGGGGGTATTTGTTTTAAATCCAAATCCACGACACGTTACCTCCCAGATACAGAATCAGAATATGTATTCATACCGGAGGAATCCAATGAGCTCTTCTTCACATATGTTTAGTAGGGGCACGAGGTAAGAAAGTTGCAGCAACAAACAATACAAAACAAAAAACCACTAGAGGAGTGCAAAGTCCAAGTAAGGTAAACAAATCACCCAAACGCACATACACATCCCCATCATACCAGACAGTTTCAGTTTCATTTATTTGGTATCGCCCTGTGAGCCATTCGGCTCTTGAATCGGGTGCAACCGCAACAAACATGAACAAAAAAACATCTTAAAGTGACTATGTGACTATGTGCAACAGAAAATCCAAGAAAAGACAGCAAAATATTGCAGAAAAAGCACCGTACACCAACGCTGTGTGCAAAAATCCCAGTGGGATGCAAGTCAAACAACAACCACCACAAGACAACTTAGATTAAGGCCATCAGTCTAACTCCGTACTACAACAAACAAACATGGCCAAACCAAAAAGTTTTCGAAATCACCTAAATAAAGCCATAAAAGCAATGTAACAGTGATCATAGGAACTGTGACGGAATTTTCACAATAAACGACGTAAACAACATGTACCACCAAACCCTGCAGCCATAGCTGGCTGCATGAGTCACTCCACAACAGCAGGAGCATCAGTCGGAGTATCAACATTTTTCAATGCACCTTTACGATCAGACAAAGGCCACTGCGGCATCAACTTACTTTTCAGAAGCCACGTGGCCACAAATGGCAGCGCCACTAAGTGGCGCTTTTCATTTGGACTTTCAGAGCAGCGCCGCTTCGTGATGTGATCTCGCCCCTCCACCCCTCCCCGTCCCTCCCCTGTAGCCCCCTTCCCGTGACCCCCCCCCCCCCCGAGTAGCCCCTCTATCTCATTCCTCCACGCATTATATCTTGGGGACCGTCCATAAATGACGTCACGCACCTGGGGGGGGTGGGGAGGTCAGAAATTTGTGACGATGTGTGACGAGGGGGCGGGGGTTTGAGAAATGTGACGTGACATCAAAATGCGCAACTTTAAATAGATATAGACAACACGTTATACTTAATTAAATATACTTTTAATAAATGTTTTCTCCTACAACATCAGAGTGCAGTGCCACATTAAATTCGCACTACAATGACAATAGTTTTTTTTTTGGGGGGGGGGGGGCAGAGCTTTGTGACGTCATATTTGAGGGGGTTCTGACTTTTTGTGACGCCGTGTGACGAAGGGGGGGGGGGGTAAAAATCGTCCAAAATCGCGTGACGTCATTTATGGACGGCCCCCGCCTAACCCCCCACAGGCAACTACCGATCACCCCGTTCTGTGTCACCGTTTGCAAGGCGTCCTATAAAAGTATAAATTCGATTCACCCATAATTATCGTGGGGGGGGGGGGGGGGGGGTTAGAGTGCGTAAATATCGATTTGTCGTCGTCAAACCCGCCGCCACCACCACCAGCCGAGGCAGCCCAGGCAGTGATGTTTGTGTCACGTCAAGAAAGCGCGCACAATTAGTCACTCGCACAATTAGTCGCTCGCACAATTAGTCGCTTGCACAATTAGTCGCTCGCACAATTAGTCGCTCGCACAATTAGTCGCTCGCACAATTAGTCACTCGCACAATTAGTCGCTCGCACAATTAGTCGCTCGCACAATTAGTCGCTCGCACAATTAGTCGCTCGCACAATTAGTCGCTCACACAATAAGTCGCTCGCACAATTAGTCGCTCGCACAATTAGTCGCTCGCACAATAAGTCGCTCGCACAATTAGTCGCTCGCACAATTAGTCGCTCGCACAATTAGTCGCTCGCACAATTAGTCGCTCGCACAATTAGTCGCTCGCACAATTAGTCGCGACCTAACCCCAACAAACAACAACAAAACACCCTGTAGCATGGATGGATATTGGTCGCGAAAGCCCCTCCCCCCCTAATGCTGCCGCGTGTTAAACCAACTTATATTACAATTCACAAGCCTCGAATCAGCTGCTCAGAAGGAAGGGTGGGGGGGGGCTTCTAAATCAATGGGGTATCTATGGCTGGATCGCCCTGCATCGTTACGTTTCAGAACAGGCGCAGGCGCAGCCCTGCAATTGCTTTGCTCACGCCACTGCTGGCGGAAAGGGCCTTTCCATTACGGGGGAGCTGCATAGAGCCACCATAGGAGGGTATTTGGCCTACTCTTCCCTGATGTACAGATGTCTCGGAAAGGGGTGGGAGCCACTCCCTCTTGAGCCACTATTTGGTATGTTCGTGTATGTACGTTGAACTTCTTTCACACCGTACGTAGCCAACCGTGCTAATCGGAGGTGCGGGAGAAGGACAACAAACTATGGGTCTCTGTGTGAGTCTACGGGTCTCTGTGTGAGTCTACAGGTCTCTGTGTGAGTCTACAGGTCTCTGTGTGAGTCTATGGGTCTCTGTGTGAGTCTATGGGTCTCTTTGTGAGTCTACGGGTCTCTGTGTGAGTCTACAGGTCTCTGTGTGAGTCTATGGGTCTCTGTGTGAGTCTATGGGTCTCTTTGTGAGTCTATGGGTCTCTTTGTGAGTCTATGGGTCTCTGTGTGAGTCTACAGGTCTCTGTGTGAGTCTATGGGTCTCTGTGTGAGTCTATGGGTCTCTTTGTGAGTCTATGGGTCTTTTTGTGAGTCTATGGGTCTCTGTGTGAGTCTACGGGTATCAGTGTGAGTCTACGGGTCTCTGTGTGAGTCTACAGATCTCTGTGTGAGTCTATGGGTCTCTGTGTGAGTCTATGGGTCTCTGTGTGAGTCTGTGGGTCTCTGTGTGAGTCTATGGATTTCTGTATAAGTCTATGGGTCACAGTGTGAGTCTATGGGTCTCTGTGTGAGTCTGTGGGTCTCTGTGTGAGTTTATGGGTCTCTGTGTGAGACTGTGGGTCTCTGTGTGAGTCTATGGGTCTCTGTGTGAGTCTACGGGTCTCTTTGTGAGTCTATGGGTCTCTGTGTGAGTCTACGGGTATCAGTGTGAGTCTACGGGTCTCTGTGTGAGTCTAAAGATCTCTGTGTGAGTCTATGGGTCTCTGTGTGAGTCTATGGGTCTCTGTGTGAGTCTGTGAGTCTCTGTGTGAGTCTATGGATTTCTGTATAAGTCTATGGGTCACAGTGTGAGTCTATGGGTCTCTGTGTGAGTCTGTGGTCTCTGTGTGAGTCTATGGGTCTCTGTGTGAGTCTGTGGGTCTCTGTGTGAGTCTATGGGTCTCTGTGTGAGTCTATGGGTCTCTGTGTGAGTCTGTGGGTCTTTGTGTGAGTCTATGGATTTCTGTATAAGTCTATGGGTCACAGTGTGAGTCTATGGGTCTCTGTGTGAGTCTATGGGTCTCTGTGTGAGTCTATGGGTCTCTGTATAAGTCTATGGGTCTCTGTGTGAGTCTACAGGTCTCTGTGTGAGTCTACAGGTCTCTGTGTGAGTCTACAGGTCTCTGTGTGAGTCTATGAGTCTCTGTGAGAGTCTATGGGTCTCTGTGTGAGTCTGTGGGTCTCTGTGTGAGTCTATGGGTCTCTGTGTGAGTCTACAGGTCTCTGTGTTAGTCTATGGGTCTCTGTGTGAGTCTACAGGTCTCTGTGTGAGTCTATGGGTCTTTGTGTGAGTCTATGGGTCTTTGTGTGAGTCTGTGGGTCTCTGTGTGAGTCTATGGGTCTCTGTGTGAGTCTATGGGTCTCTGTGTGAGTCTATGGGTCTCTGTGTGAGTCTACGGGTCTCTGTGTGAGTATATGGGTCTCTGTGTGAGTCTGTGGGTCTCTGTGTTAGTCTACAGGTCTCTGTGTGAGTCTATGGGTCTCTGTGTGAGTCTTTGGGTCTCTGTATAAGTCTATGGGTCTCTGTGTGAGTCTGTGGGTCTCTGTGTGAGTCTACAGGTCTCTGTGTGAGTCTATGGGTCTCTGTGTGAGTCTGTGGGTCTCTGTGTGAGTCTGTGGGTCTCTGTGTGAGTCTACAGGTCTCTGTGTGAGTCTATGGGTCTCTGTGTGAGTCTATGGGTCTCTGTGTGAGTCTATGGGTCTCTTTGTGAGTCTATGGGTCTCTTTGTGAGTCTACGGGTCTCTGTGTGAGTCTACAGGTCTCTGTGTGAGTCTATGGGTCTCTGTGTGAGTCTATGGGTCTCTGTGTGAGTCTATGGGTCTTTTTGTGAGTCTGTGGGTCTCTGTGTGAGTCTATGGGTCTCTGTGTGAGTCTACAGATCTCTGTGTGAGTCTATGGGTCTCTGTGTGAGTCTATGGGTCTCTGTGTGAGTCTGTGGGTCTCTGTGTGAGTCTATGGATTTCTGTATAAGTCTATGGGTCACAGTGTGAGTCTATGGGTCTCTGTGTGAGTCTGTGGGTCTCTGTGTGAGTCTATGGGTCTCTGTGTGAGTCTGTGGGTCTCTGTGTGAGTCTATGGGTCTCTGTGTGAGTCTACGGGTCTCTTTGTGAGTCTATGGGTCTCTGTGTGAGTCTACGGGTATCAGTGTGAGTCTACGGGTCTCTGTGTGAGTCTAAAGATCTCTGTGTGAGTCTATGGGTGTCTGTGTGAGTCTATGGGTCTCTGTGTGAGTCTGTGGGTCTCTGTGTGAGTCTATGGATTTCTGTGTGAGTCTGTGGGTCTCTGTGTGAGTCTATGGGTCTCTGTGTGAGTCTATGGGTCTCTGTGTGAGTCTGTGGGTCTTTGTGTGAGTCTATGGATTTCTGTATAAGTCTATGGGTCACAGTGTGAGTCTATGGGTCTCTGTGTGAGTCTGTGGGTCTCTGTGTGAGTCTATGGGTCTCTGTATAAGTCTATGGGTCTCTGTGTGAGTCTACAGGTCTCTGTGTGAGTCTACAGGTCTCTGTGTGAGTCTATGAGTCTCTGTGTGAGTCTATGGGTCTCTGTGTGAGTCTGTGGGTCTCTGTGTGAGTCTATGGGTCTCTGTGTGAGTCTACAGGTCTCTGTGTTAGTCTATGGCTCTCTGTGTGAGTCTACAGGTCTCTGTGTGAGTCTATGGGTCTTTGTGTGAGTCTATGGGTCTTTGTGTGAGTCTGTGGGTCTCTGTGTGAGTCTATGGGTCTCTGTGTGAGTCTATGGGTCTCTGTGTGAGTCTATGGGTCTCTGTGTGAGTCTACGGGTCTCTGTGTGAGTATATGGGTCTCTGTGTGAGTCTGTGGGTCTCTGTGTGAGTCTACAGGTCTCTGTGTGAGTCTATGGGTCTCTGTGTGAGTCTTTGGGTCTCTGTATAAGTCTATGGGTCTCTGTGTGAGTCTGTGGGTCTCTGTCTGAGTCTACAGGTCTCTGTGTGAGTCTATGGGTCTCTGTGTGAGTCTGTGGGTCTCTGTGTGAGTCTGTGGGTCTCTGTGTGAGTCTACAGGTCTCTGTGTGAGTCTATGGGTCTCTGTGTGAGTCTATGGGTCTCTGTATAAGTCTATGGGTCTCTCTGTGAGTCTATGGGTCTCTGTGTGAGTCTACAGGTCTCTGTGTGAGTCTGGGTCTCTGTGTGAGTCTGTGGGTCTCTGTGTGAGTCTGTGGGTCTCTGTGTGAGTCTATGGGTCTCTGTGTGAGTCTATTGGTCTCTGTATAAGTCTATGGGTCTCTGTATGAGTCTATGGGTCTCTGTGTGAGTCTATGGGTCTCTGCGTGAGTCTACGGGTCTCTGTGTGAGTCTATGGGTCTCTGTGTGAGTCTGTGGGTCTCTGTGTGAGTCTACAGGTCTCTGTGTGAATCTATGGGTCTCTGTGTGAGTCTATGGGTCTCTGTATAAGTCTATGGGTCTCTGTGTGAGTATGTGGGTCTCTGTGTGAGTCTACAGGTCTCTGTGTGAGTCTATGGGTCTCTGTGTGAGTCTGTGGGTCTCTGTGTGAGTCTGTGGGTCTCTGTGTGAGTCTACAGGTCTCTGTGTGAGTCTATGGGTCTCTGTGTGAGTCTATGGGTCTCTGTATAAGTCTATGGGTCTCTCTGTGAGTCTATGGGTCTCTGTGTAAGTCTACAGGTCTCTGTGTGAGTCTGGGTCTCTGTGTGAGTCTGTGGGTCTCTGTGTGAGTCTGTGGGTCTCTGTGTGAGTCTATGGGTCTCTGTGTGAGTCTATGGGTCTCTGTATAAGTCTATGGGTCTCTGTATAAGTCTATGGGTCTCTGTGTGAGTCTATGGGTCTTTGTGTGAGTCTATGGGTCTCGGTGTGAGTCTATGGGTCTCTGTGAGTCTATGGTCTCTCTGTGAGTCTATGGGTTGCTATACATGTCTACGGGTCTCTGTTTGAGTCTACGGGTCTCTGTGAGTATATGGGTCTCTGTATAAGTCTTTGGGTCTCTCTGTGAGTCTATGGGTCTCTGTGAGTCTATGGGTCTCTATACAAGTCTACGGGTGCGGGGGAACGACACCTCCGCACTAAACACACAACGCGCTTGTGGAGGGGCGTTCGAGTTCAGTCGGTTTCCACGCTGCCTCCCCGCCCCACCTGTGTGCCCAGGTGGTGGAGGCCCCACAATGGGCTCAGTCCCAGCCTGGGGGTCAACTACGGCCGCGGGGGGCACCTGGGGGGACTCTGGACCGGTGGCAGGGGTCCCCGTGGGGGGGCCCGGCGGGGAGGGGGCGTCCCCGCGGGGGGCCCACGACGCGCTGAGCCCCTTCGCCCCCGAGCCGGCCGGATGCTCGGACTGGGCACAGAGCTGGGCCCGGGATCGAACCCCCAACGAGCAGAGCTGGTGTGTGCGTACACGTGCGTGTGTGTGCGTGCACGTGTGTGTGTGCGTGTGTGTGTGCGTGTGTGTGCGTGTGTTTGCGTGTGTGCGTGTGTTTGCGTGTGTATGCATGAGCGTGTGTGCGTGCGTGTGCGCGTGCGTGTGCGTATGTGCGTGTGTGTGCATGAGCGTGTGTGCGTGCGTGTGCATGTGTGCATGCATGTGTGTGCGTACGTACGTGTGTGTAGCGGTTAGCGCACTGCGCTATGAACCCGGCGACCCAAGTTCGATTCCCGCTCACGGCCAATACCAGCGGCGATTATCTAAACTGGTTCTGGGCCTCCCCTAGGTCTACTCAGCCTCAAATGAGTACCTGGTACGATGTGTAAAACATGGCCACGAGGGAGACAAAGGCGGCCGGGCGTGGTGCTGGCCACCCACCCCTCCTGTGCCGTGCCGGCCTTTATAGGTGCTCATCACGAACAGAACCTGCTCTAACAGTCTGTCAAGGTTATACGGGAGATCTTTGTATATACCTGCGTGCATGTTGTATGAAGCTGCGTACCTGTGTGTGTGTGCGCAGGGTCGGTGAGTGTGATCTCCTGGGTGACTCTGAAACTGATGGGCTTCTGCCATCCGAACAGCCCTGCTTTGTCAAGGTGAGCACACAAAGACAAAGACACCCCGTATAGCCTGTAATATACTGTTGGGGCAAGTGCTGTTCGCGAGTAGCACCTATGAAGGCCGGCACGCCACACGAAGGGTTGAGGGGCCAGCACCACGCCCGGCCGCCTTTGTCTCTCTCGTGGCGATGTTTACCCACTGCACCAGGTACTCATTTTAGGCTGAGTCCACCAAGGGGAGGCCCCGGACCAGCTCATATAATCGTCACCGGTGTTGATGGCCGTGAACGGGAATCCAACTCGGGTCCGCTGGGTCCATAGCGCATTGTAGCGCGCTAACCGCTGAGCCACCGCTCCCCACGCACAGATCTAAACACCATCTCTGGCCTGTGGACCGCTCAATTGGTGTCCATTTGATCTGTGTGTACGTACGTTGAATATCTTCCGCACCGTACGTAGCCAACCGCGTTGATTGGGGGAAGTTGGTGCGACAGTCGTGGAAATGAATCACAGACGAGGTTTTGCCAAGTCCTAGAATTGGTTCCCAGGTGTTCTGCTCATCTGCCCAGGAAAGGGGCCTCCCCGAGTCTCAAAAGTCAGATTGCAGGAGGAGGATCCTGCTGTAGGATTTTCGCAATCGGTGGCGATGATTTAAGCTAAAAACTAAATTTTTATTATTTTTATTTATTTTAATTTTACCAGGTAAGGCCCCACTGAGCTGTGTATTTCTAGCAGCCAACTACTCTAAACGCGTGATATTGATTTTAAATGTGGAGTGAAAAACCGGAGGACCCGGAGAAAAATCTCTGCGGCCGCGGGGAGAGAAACACTGCAAACTCCAAATATACAGCAGCAGGCGTCAGGGTCGGGGTCGATCCCACGACCTCCTGTATACCAGGCGAGGGAGTTAACATCAATGGAGTGATGTTGCGGTGTCATCTTTCAAATTTGCCACATTTGGACCGTCGCTCCGGCATGCAATGGCCCACTCTTGTGAATGGCATCACGGCATCTTCAGGGTCCACTATTAAGAAGACTCCAAGCATCTTTTTCTGTGGACCCTTTATTTATGGTAAACAAACCCGCAGAATTATCCACCACTCAACCACTCACCTACTCACTGTCTCCACCACTCACCAACTTCAACACTCTATCACGCTACCCACCCCACCATTCACCACCACTCACCCACTCCACGCTACCCACTCATCCACACCACCACTCGTCCACTCCACAACTCACCACTCCACCACCACTCGCTCACATCCACTCCAACATGACACCACTCGTCCAGACAATCACCCACCGACTCACTCTACCACTCACCCACCCACTCTACTACTCACCCACCCACTCACCCACCGACTCACTCTACCACTCACCCACCCACTCCACTACTCACTCACCCACTCACCCACCCACTCCACTACTCACCCACCCACTCACCCACCCACTCCACTACTCACTCACTCCACAACTTACCACTCCACCACCACTCGCTCACATGCACTCCAACATGACACCACACACCCACGCCATCACTCCACCCACGCTACCGCTCGCCCCAGCTGGTATCCGAGTCTGTGCGCTGCCCCTTTAGAGAGCTGACAGAGAGGCACAAATGCATTTTTTATGAATTTTACATTTTCCGCTCCCCCACGATGCCCTCCCACACAGAGCCCTCCCCCCTCACCCCCCTCACCCCCACCCCGCTTCTCTCCCCCCACCCACTCACCCATCCCCACCCTCTCGCTCTTGTTCCGCACAAATTATTAATGCGGGAGCCTTGTCAGTGCGTGTGAGACGCGGGGTCACATCGTGGGATCGGGTTTCTCCTGCCGCACATGCACGCGTGGAGGGGGGGGGAGTTGTGGGGGGCTCGTTTGTTTGGTTTGGTGTCAGGTAGATGTTGATTGAGGGGTGAGTGAGTGTGGGTGAGTGTGGTGTGTGGGTGAGTCTGTGTGGGTGAGTGAGTGTGGGTGAGTGAGTGAGTGTGGGTGATTGTGGGTGAGTGTGGGTGAGTGTGGGTGAGTGTGGTTGAGTGTGAGTGAGTGAGTGTGGGTGAGTGAGTGAGTGAGGGTGAGTGAGTGAGGGTGAGTGAGAGTGTGTGGGTATGTGTGTGTGGGTGAGTGTGAGTGTGTGTGGGTGAGTGAGTGTGGGTGAGTGAGGGTGGGTGAGTGAGTGAGCGTGGGTGAGTGAGTGAGTGTGTTAGAGTTGGTGAGGTCAGGTATTGCACGGGGAGGTGGATATGGATTGGGGGAGTTGCTGCGGGCTGGGGGTTGGTGTGGGGCGAGCGTGGGGGGAGGGGGGGCGGGGTGAGGTTTGGAGTGGGGGGGGGGCAGTTGTAGTCTGGTTCACGGTTGTTGAATGGGAGGGCAATTTATGAATAGTAGGTGGGGTGCTGAATTGGGGGGGGGGCGGTTGTTGAAAGGGGGGGTAGTTACTGGAAGGGGGGGGGGGTAGTCGCTGATCGAGGGAGAGAGTTTGGCGCAGCTGTCCAGGTGTCGCGTTCCACCTGCCGCCACCCGGGCCCTGTGCAGGGTGGGTCCACGTGTCATTTGAGCCCATCCCCCATTTAAAGATCTGAAACTTAATATTATTATACATATACAGTATATTTAATGAATGTTTATTTAAAACACAAGGGGGGGAGGGGGGGGAATGTTCAGGGTCAATTCATTGGGGGGGGTGGGAGCGAGGGCGGGGGGGTCACAAGACGTCTGGACGGGCAGCAGGGCCTCCCCAGGGGCAGTAGCCGGGGCAGGAAGCGGGGACCTCGCCGGGCAGCGGAGCGGCGTCGCCTTCCCCCCCAGCGGCTGGGCCGGGAGGCTTCTGCCCCCTCCCTGGGTTTGACTCCGGGGCTCCCGAGCGGAGAGAGACCGCGGGAGAGAGGCAGAGAGCTCGACGCGGCGGCCATCTCGTCTCGCCGCCGCCATTGAGCTCGAACTGTGCAGTTTCAGTGCACACAAGATCTGCCCAGGTCAAGGGGTCAGATTCGCCCGCGTGGACGGCAAGGTTTCACAGTTCCTCAATGCCGAGTGCGAGTCGGCGTTCCTCTCCGAGCGCAATTCGCGGTAAAGCAACTGGACGGTCCTCAGCAGACGCAGGCACAAGAAGGGCCATCAGGAGGAGGAGGAGGTGTCTAAGAAGAGGTCTCGCCGTGCCGTGAAGACTCAGCGCGCCATCGCAGGCGCCACGCCCTCCGACATCCTCGCCAAGCGCGACCAGAAGATCGAGAGCCGCAAGGGTCAGCGCGAGCAAAACATCCGAGCTGCGAAGAAGGAGGCGAAGAAGGTGAAGGCTGGAACCAAGAAGTCGGCCACAGCTCCTGCCAAGGCTGCAGTTAAGGCTGCCCCCAAGCAGAAAATCGCCAAAACGATGAAGTCGGCAGCTCCCAGAGTGGGGGGCAAACGCTGAGGTCGGGGGGGGGGGGGCAGGACATCCCTCAAAATTACCCCTCCACAGAGTGAACATCATGGAGTTACCATCACCGGGGGTTCATTTTGTTTTGTTGAAAAGAAACAAGTTTGAGTTCTTGAATAAAAAATAGAGAGAGAAAGAGGGAGAGAAAGAGGGAGAGAAAGAGGGAGAGAGCCGCCACCTGCCTCTGCGCTCTTGGCACCAAACATTTGCGATGCGATTGGACGATGCGTAGAGATTCATTTGGTAACGGGTAACCAACCTCAAGTTTATGGCGAATTAGGTTTTCGCGATCAATGTTATCCATCATACAGATTTGTCTGTTTATGTCTTTTCACAATTTTGGCTATCGCCTGATAATGCTGGTTGTTGTTGTTGTTGTTTTATGAGGCTGGTTATTGTTGTTGTTGAGGCTGGTTGTTGTTGATGTTGTTCATGAGGTTATTTGTTGTTGGTGAGGAGGCTGGTTGTTGTTGTTGATGAGGATGGTTGTTGTTGTTGTTGATGAGGCTGGTTGTTGTTGTTGTTGATGAGGCTGGTTGTTGTTGTTGAGGCTGGTTGTTGTTGTTGTTGTTGAGGCTGGTTGTTGTTGTTGTTGTTGATGAGGCTGGTTGTTGATGATGATGATGAGGCTGGTTGTTGTTGTTGTTGATGAGGCTGGTTGTTGTTGTTGTTGATGAGGCTGGTTGTTGTTGTTGTTGATGAGGCTGGTTGTTGTTGTTGTTGATGAGGCTGGTTGTTGTTGTTGTTGTTGATGATGATGAGGCTGGTTGTTGTTGATGAGGCTGGTTGTTGATGAGGCTGGTTGTTGTTGATGATGAGGCTTGTTGTTGTTGTTGATGAGGCTGGTTGTTGTTGTTGATGAGGCTGGTTGTTGTTGTTGTTGATGATGATGAGGCTGGTTGTTGTTGTTGTTGTTGATGATGAGGCTGGTTGTTGTTGATGATGAGGCTGGTTGTTGTTGTTGTTGATGATGATGAGGCTTGTTGTTGTTGTTGTTGATGATGAGGCTGGTTGTTGTTGATGATGAGGCTGGTTGTTGATGAGGCTGGTTGTTGTTGATGATGAGGCTGGTTGTTGATGAGGCTTGTTGTTGTTGTTGTAATTACTGGCAAAACGTCACAGTACTCGATTTGTAAAAGTTGTCGTGGGTTTTACTCTCCAACACACAACCGGTTAGTGCTGTACTAGTGGCGGTGGTGTTGGCGATGGTGGTAGCGGTGGTGATGGTGGCGGTGGTGATGGTGGCAGTGGTGGCTCTGGCGGTGGCAGTAGTGGTGGTGGTAGCGGTGGTGGTAGCAGTGGCGGCGGTTGCGCTGGCAGTAGCAGTGGCGTTGGCGCTGGTGGTGGTGATGGTGGTAGCGGTGGTGATGGTGGTAGCGCTGGCAGTAGCAGTGGCGTTGGCGTTGGCGCTGGTGGTGGTGATGGTGGTAGCGGTGGTGATGGTGGTAGCGGTGGTGATGGTGGTAGCGGTGGTGATGGTGGTAGCGCTGGCAGTAGCAGTGGCAGCGGTGGCAGTGGCGCTGGCGGCCGCTTTCGCGTCGATGCAGAGCGCACGCGGCAGCCGAGAACTGAACGGTGGCAGTGCAACGAAAAATCCTGGCCACCGTAGTTTGAGACCGGATCGCAGGGCAACGTTGTATCACGAGCACGAGGCGAGGATTCGCAAAAAGATCCTCGTCTGTCGCTGTGAAGAATGTCGTTTTACAAAATAAATAAGCATATAATTTGCTTGCTTCCAATCACCCTCCCTCCGAATAAATAAAGAAGCTATGACACATATGTTTACACATCCCATCAGCCACGCCGCCTTCTGGTAGTGCACTGGGACCGGTTTCGACAGTCGGCGTCTCATCAGCAGAGCCGCGGCTCGCTCGAGCCAACGCTGGTGAAACCTACCACAGGTTTATTGGCGAGGACCTCTAAGCTGCTACCAATATCGAGTGACCACCCCTCCCCTACCACCACATCGCCATTGCGGAAGGTGACGACGAAGGGTATCCGTGTTGCCGCTCGCCAGATCCGGCACAGGGTGTCCGAGTGGGCCGCGGCGTTTGCCTCCGTGCCGGCGAGAAGGTGACTCCGTGCCCGCACTCGCACTCAGCCGGGAGGAGGTCGTCGCCAAAGTCCTCTGTGAGACACGCAAGTGGCACGGCCCTCGTGGCCCCCACCACCACGGTGGCGAGGAGATGTGAACTCCCTCGCCTGGTACGCAGGAGGCCGGGGGTTCGATCCCGACCCTGACGCCTGCTGCTGTATATTTGGAGTTTGCGTGTCTCTCATCATCATCACGGTAGCTAGGAGATGTGAACTCCCTCGCCTGGTACGCAGGAGGCCGGGGGTTCGATCCCGACCCTGACGCCTGCTGCTGTATATTTGGAGTTTGCGTGTCTCTCATCATCATCACGGTAGCTAGGAGATGTGAACTCCCTCGCCTGGTGCGCAGGAGGTCGTGGGTTCGATCCCGACTCTGACGATGCCTGCTGTATATTTGGAGTTTGCGTGTCTCTCTCTCTCATCATCATCACGGTGGCTGGGGGATGTGAACTCCCTCGCCTGGTGCGCAGGAGGTCGTGGGTTCGATCCTGACCCTGACGCCTGCTGCTGTATATTTGGAGTTTGCGTGTCTCTCTCTCTCATCACGATGGCTAGGAGATGTTGACTACCTCGCCTGGGATGCAGGGAGTCGTGGGTTCGATCCCGACTCTGACGATGCCTGCTGTATATTTGGAGTTTGCGTGTCTCTCTCTCTGTTCGTGGTTGCGTGGATCTTTCTTCGAGTCTTTCCGGTTTTTTCCACCACATTTATAATCCAACGTCACGCGTTTAGAGTATTTGGTCGCCATAAATGTCTACACGACGATAAGCCACTTCTTTGGGCTGTCATTTGTGGCCACGTCGCTTCTAAAAAAGAGCTACCTGGTAAAATAAACAAACATAGTTTGATTTAGTGATGGTGGCGGGGCGCTGTGGTTCACACTCGTGGCAGGAAATGGGTCCCTGGGTTTGAATCCTGACCCAGGCGCCTCTCTGTGTGGAGTCTGTGTGCTCTTTGTACAATGCTCCCGCTGGTGTGCGCGTGACAACGGTGGATGTGTCGGTGTGTTATTAGTGTCGACTTCATTTGAGATACAGGGTTGTCCATGAAGTCCCGATATAATTTTATTGAAATCGAAGCAATTTATGGGAAGTTATGCGACGATATGATCGGAGGTATATTCATCATTGACATGGAGGCGTTTTGGATTCTAGACGAGCAACGTAGCAATCTCGGCACAGCTCAAATCCTGTAAACTGCATATCGGACACACATTTTGCATCTTGCGAAGTATTTTTTTTTTGCTAGCAACAAACACAATGTCGTAAAATCTTGCAGATCTATAAAACTCTTGGTCGATGCACAGGCCCCCTCCCCACCCCCGTGCAAAAAATTCCAAAGGCGTTAAAATCCAGAGATGGAAGCAGGAGGACTTCTCCACAAATCTGGCTGTCGCCTGATGAAGCTCGTTGTAATTACTGGAGAAACGTCGTAATCGGATAGTAAATGTTGTGGCTTGGCTCTCCAACACGCAACCGGTGTGCTGTACTAGTGACGAATTGCCACGTTCTGTTCACGTGACAAACCTGACTGATTGGCCGTGGCGGGTTTAACGACACATTATATTCACGCAAACTCACCCACGAAAAAAAACTCTCATGGATCTCCAGGGCTTAGTTTGCTGCCATGTCCTCTCCAGCGATTTGGAAAACTTCCATTGAAGGCACTCCCGGCACGATGTTTGTGCAATAACGATGAGTGCCCTCACCATCCCCCCCCCCCCCCCCCGTTTTATTAGACTCTCGATTATCCGCACGCGGTTTATCCGTTTTGAGGGTGAACCGTGCACAGTGACATTTTGGCGTAAAAATGAATAAACTCGTGGATTTTCACCCGAAGCCCAAATTAATCATCTAAAAACAGTTATACAACATTGTTATTCTTGGAAATGTTTACTGCAAGTCACGTGCTTAAACCGAACAAATATGTTACCCCGGTTAATCCGAAATCCACATGATCACCTCTACAGTACAGTAGTTGCCATTTCTTTACAACAGTAGGCGGAGTTTGATTGATGTTGATTGGCGTGGTTCTGCTGCTGTCATCCACTTAGTGGGCTGAGTCTTCTATGCAGGAGCAGGAAAGTGTCACCACTGAGCATGCGCATCGATCAGTCGATCGTTAGTATTTGTTCTAAATCTAAATTGACTTTTTTAATAAAACAACATCAATATGTTCTTGACTACACTGTTTTGCTTTGTTCATTAACGAACGAAATTTTCTTAACTTACACGTAATTTACAGACAAATGTAGTGGTATTTGGCAGAGAGATATGTGGGATAATCGAGTCTAATGTGTAAATATTTAGAACATTAGTCCAATAATATCGACAGGGACTTTATGGATAAGCCTGCATTACACGGATGGTTCCCGTTAAGCAAATTGGCCGGTTATTTTACACGGGAGATCCCGTGGTGCGTGAGCATAGCAGCAACAACAACAACACGAAGAATGAGAACCACCCAAGCACCAGTCCACACACTCACCTACCCACACACTCACCTACCCACACACTCACCTACCAACACACTCACCTACCCACACACTCAGCTACCCACACACTCAGCTACCCACACACTCACCTGCCCACACACTCACCTACCCACACACTGACCTACCCACACACTCACCTGCCCACACACTCACCTGCCCACACACTCACCTACCCACACACTCACCTACCCACACACTCAGCTACCCACACACTCAGCTACCCACACACTCACCTACCCACACACTCAGCTACCCACACACTCACCTACCCACACACTCACCTACCCACACACTCACCTACCAACACACTCACCTACCCACACACTCAGCTACCCACACACTCACCTGCCCACACACTCACCTACCCACACACTCACCTACCAACACACTCACCTACCCACACACTCAGCTACCCACACACTCACCTGCCCACACACTCACCCGTCCACACACCTGCCCACACACTCACTCGTCCACACACCTACCACACACTCACCTGCGCCCACTCACAGCAAGGTCCTCGAGGAGTATTGCACGACTAACAGACAAGGTGTTTAATGGTCGCGTGAGAGTGTGAATGCGAGTGTGTGAGTGTGCGTGAGAGTGTGTGTGCGTGTTTGGGGAGCGGTAGTGTAGCAGTTAGCGCTCTTGCGCTATGTACCTGGCGACTCGGGTTTATTTTCCGTTCATGGCCTACATCAGTGACGATTATCTAAAGCGGTTCTGGGCCTCCCCTAGGTCGACTCAGCCTTAAAAAATTGTAACTGGTGCGATGTGTAAACGTCACCAATAGAGACAAAGGCGGCCGGAGGTGGTGCTAACCACCCACCCCCTCGTGTGCCGTGCTCGGCTTCATAGGAGCTGCTCGCTAAAAGCACTTTCCCCAACAGTCTGTTAATGCTATATGGGGAATGTTTGTCTTTGTGTGTGTGTGGAGTTGTTTTCCTGTTCTGTTTTTCGCAGCATGTGTAGAGGAGTAATGTGGAGGCGTGACGTCAAGTGCGATGACGTCATGTCACGTGACGTCATGTACGCTGGGCGGGGCGATGACGTCATGTCTCATCAGGGTACTTAAGGGGGACTCTGGGACGAAAGCGGGGTCGTTGTGGGAGCCCGGGATAGAGAGCAGTGGAAGAGGCAGCCAGGGGTAGAGTTCAGGGAGTCTGGAGAGAAGCCGGCTGGAGTTGTGGAAGGTGCTGCTCTCCCCGGTCGGCCGGTGTTGGCTGAACCCCCGATCCGACTCGAGGGAGAGAGGCCCTGGAGCGAGCCGAGATAGTAACAGACAGAGTGAAGGTCCGGGTGAAGGACCCAGTGTAGGACCCCTACCCCTGGGGAAGTTAATAAATATCTGGCGCAAGCCCTTAACTGCAGACCTGCCTCCGCGTCGTCATTTGCACCTCCCACATGGATGTAACTTGTAAGCACGTGGAGAAGTGCGGGCTGGGCCTGTGGCAAAGGTGGTAGACCCCACTGCCAGTGCAGCATCGCTGTTGTCGTTTTAACCTGTACACTCACCTGTGTCCACATCCACCTGTGCCCAGTCAGCTACCCACAAACTCCCCTGTGCCCTATCACCTGTCCACACACTTGTGCCCACACACTCACCTGTGCCCACACACTCACCTGTGCCTACTCACCTGTCCACTCACCTGTCCACTCACCTGTGCCCACACATTTGTGCCCACACACCTGCCCACAAACTCACCTGTGTCCAATCACCTGTCCACACACCTGTGCCCACACACACTCGCCTGCCCCCACTCACCCCGCGCAGGTCAGTTCCGGCTCGGAGACGTGGGACGACGCCGTCCCCGGCGAACGGAGCGTGGGGGGCACGGGGAGCGCCGGAGGGGGCACGGGGAGCGCCGGAGGGGGCACGGGGAGCGCCGGGGGGGTCGCGGGGGGCCCCGGGGGGGTCACGGGGGGCCCCGGGGTGGCCACGGGGGCCACCGGTGGGACCACGGGGGCCGCCGGTGGGACCACGGGGTCCGTGAGGAGGAAGAAAGCACCGCAGTGGAACGAGGAGGAGGAGGAGGACGATGGCCACCCCACCTGGGCCCAGGACGAGTTTGAGAAGACAAAGGCGGCCATCGAGGTGAGGATAGGGGCGGGCGGCCGCGGTGGCGACAGGGGGGGGGGGTGTGTGATGATGCAGAGTGAGCGGCGTAGCTATTGAGTCACGCAGACGGTTGCCCAGGTGCGAGGCTACGAAGGGGAAGGGGCTGGGTGGGGGGGGGGAAGTAGAAACTTAGTTTCAAAACTCTCCGTTGCGTTCATCCGGTCTCGTTTGTATTTGTCCGTCTCCCGTCTTCCAGAGTCCCGTTGGTTCCATTCCCTGAGCAAATGTCTGTGAGAGACTCTGGGGGGCGGGGGGCACATTGAGCCTACAGACAATGCCGCCAAACCCTGCCCAGTTTTACGTAGCCACGCCCACTTGACGACTAGCACCGCTCACCCAGCCACACCCACATGTACAGGCACACCCACATGTACAGGCACACCCACATGGGTGTGTACAGGTAGAACACCTTGTGGTTGACGCGATATCCCCTATTGCGTGTTAAACAGAAGCCCTCCTCCTCTCTCTTAACGACGGTAATTGGTTCCACGAAACCGGTCGTCAAGTCATTTGGTTGTTAAGCGAGTGTAGGGAATGCACGTTAAAGGTTTAATAGCATCGAAAGTTATCCATTTTCACCCCAAAAAACGTACTTTATAATATTTAAACGATGTAATCAATGCATAAAGATACTAACAACATGATAAACACGTACTATTAAAATAAATACGGTTGATAAATGCATTAATTCATATTTACTGTACTTGCAACAGCCCGTCGTTAACAGGGGAATGGTCACTAAGCAAAAATATTGGACCCAATGGAGGGACAACACTTCTATACACTATACACTACACTACTATACACTACTATACACTACACTATACACTACACTATACACTACACTATACACTACACTATACACTACACTACTATACACTATACACTACACTATACACTATACTATACACTACACTATACACTACACTATACACTACTATACACTACACTATACACTACACTTCTATACACTATTATACACTACACTACTATACACTATACACCTACACTACTATACACTACACTATACACTACACTTCTATACACTATACACTACACTACTATACACTACACTATACACTACACTTCTATACACTACACTTCTATACACTACTATACACTGCACTACACTACTATACACTTCTATACACTACACTACTATACACTACACTACTATACACTACACTACTACACACTGCACTACACTACTATACACTATACACTACACTACTATACACTACACTATACACTACACTACTATACACTACACTATACACTACTATACACTACACTACTATACACTGCACTACACTACTATACACTACACTTTACACTACACTACTACACACTACACTATACACTACACTTCTATACACTACACTACACTATACACTACACTACACTATACACTACACTTCTATACACTACACCACTATACACTACACTATACACTACACTATACACTACACTATACACTGCACTACACTACTATACACTACACTATACACTACACTATACACTACACTACTATACACTACACTATACACTACACTACTATACACTACACTATACACTACACTACTATACACTACACTATACACTACACTACTATACACTGCACTACACTACTATACACTACACTATACACTACTATACACTGCACTACACTACTATACACTACACTATACACTACACTACTATACACTACACTATACACTACACTTCTATACACTATACACTACACTACTATACACTACACTATACACTACACTTCTATACACTATACACTACACTACTATACACTACACTATACACTACACTACTATACACTACTATACACTGCACTACACTACTATACACTACACTATACACTACTATATACTACACTATACACTACACTAATATACACTACACTATACACTACACTTCTATACACTATTATACACTACAATTCTATACACTACACTACTATACACTACTACACTACACTACTATATACTACACTATACACTACACTATACACTCCACTATATACTACTATACACTACACATCTATACACTACACTACTATACACTACTATACGATACTCTTCACGACACTACAATACACTACTATACACTACACTTTCCACTACTATACACTATACTATATACTACACCATACACGACCCTATACACTACTATACACTACTATACACTAATTATTGGGAAGGCCCGTCGTTAATCGATTAGTCGTTAACAGAGGTGGTCATTAACAGGGGTTCTACTCTATGATACACTACACACTACTATACACGACAATACTATACACTACACCATACACGACACTACTATACACTACACTATACACTACACTACTATACACTACACTATACACTACACTACTATACACTACACTACTATACACTACACTACTATACACTACACTACTATACACTACACTATACACTACACTATACACTACACTACTATACACTACACTATACACTACACTAATATACACTACACTATACACTACACTATACAGTACACATTGGGCTCTGGGGAGGCCCGTCGTGAAGCGATTAGTCGTGAACAGGGGCGGTCGTTAAGAGGGCTTCTGCTGTAGCCCCTCTGCGGGTGTATGTAACCCTGTGTGTGTGTGCACGTGATTACGCGTGTACACCCACGTGTCACGTACACGTGATTACCGTGTACACCCACGTGTCACGTACACGTGATTACCGTGTACACCCACGTGTCACGTACACGTGATTACCGTGTACACCCACGTGTCACGTACACGTGATTACGGGTGTACACCCACGTGTCACGTACACGTGTTTACCGTGTACACACACGTGTCACGTACACGTGATTACCGTGTACACACACGTGTCACGTACACGTGTTTACCGTGTACACACACGTGTCACGTACACGTGATTACGCGTGTAGACCCACGTGTGACGTACACTCTGCCCGCGTGCTGCTGGCTGGACGAGACCGCGAGAGGTGGCGGCGGCTCGGGGAGGCTCTCATCCAGCAGTGGATCGACCATGGACGACTGATGACGATTGTCAATTGTGTGGGGAGCGGTGGTGTAGTTGCTGTTAGCGCGCGGCGCTACGAACCCGGCGACCCGAGTTCGATTCCCGCTCACGGGTTAACACGAGTTGAGAATTATTATCTGAACTGGTCCTGGGCCTCCCCTAGGTCGACTCAGCCTCAAATGAGTACCTGATGGGGTGTGTAGTAAAACAAATCATCCCCACTGGGGGAGACAAGGGCGGCCGGGCGTGGTGTGCCGGCCACCCACCCCGTCGTGTGTCGTACTTGCTTTCATAGGTGCTGCTCGCTAACAGCACTTGCCCCGACAGTCTGTTGATGGCTACACGGCAGTGGTAGTGGCGGGTGGTGGTGGCGGTGGGGGCGGCGGTGGTGGTGGCGGTGGTGGTGGCGGTGGGGGCGGCGGTGGTGGTGGCGGTGGGGGCGGTGGTGGTGGTGGTGGCGGTGATCTTTGTCTTTGTGTAGGCGGACGTGGCGTTCTGGGACAAGCTCCAGGCCGAGTGGGAGGAGATGGCCATGCGAGAGACGGACACCTCCTACCCCTGGGTCCAGGATCCTGGGGGGGCCGGCAAGGTGGGTGGTTGGGGAGATGGGGGCAGGTTGGGGTCACCTCGTTAGCCTGACGAGACTGGTGGTGGAGACCCTCCGTGTTGTGGTTGCTGCTGCTGCTGCTGAGCGGTAGCGCAGCAGCAGCGGTTGGCGCTCTCCAATTAGCGCAGCCGTGCGACGCGAGTTCCCCGCTCGCGACGACGGTGGCGGTGGTGGGGGGAGGGCGGGGGGCAGCTCCCGTAGGTGCACGCAGTCTCAAACGAGTCCCTGGCGTGTATAAACAGCAGGGAAGACAAAGGCGGCCGGGCGCAGCGACGCCGCCACTCAGAGCTGGATGAAGGTTTTTGAGGGACCCTGTCTCGTCGGCCTTCAGTAATGACTCTCTAGAGAGTTGGCGGTGCTGCTCCTTGCCACGAGCGCCGCTGTCACTCCGCGGTGCTTCGTCAAGCCGCTGGACAGACGTCGTCACTGCCGATGCCTTCATTCTGTGGCCCAGTGGTGCTTCACCTTCAGGAGTTGTTGTGCTTACGTGCCGGTGCTTAATTTGTGTTTTTGATGACTTACCTTCTAAAAAACAATCTGGCCATGTCTCGCACCCCCTAGAAAAAGCATCACGCACCCCCAGGGAGTGCGTGGAGCACCCCAGGTTAAGAAGAATCACCACTGGTGTAGTCCGTGCCCTCATTCGATGGGAGCGCGCTGTGTGCCGCAGATAAACAGATTTAATTTGAAACACTGTGGCCTATCCTTGCAGTGTACATATATTTATTCGAGAAGATATCTAAAAAACAGAAAAATAACGTGGTCACATTTTTTTTCTTTCGTAGGCCCTATTAGTTTCCCATAGGCGCTAGGCGCAGTGCCTACTGTGGTCGATTCGTTATAATCGGGCCGCTGCGGCCACCGACCCACCCCTCGTGCGCCGTGCACAGCCTTCAAAGGCGCTCGCGAGCAGCACTGGCCCGCAACGGAACTGCGAGAGGCGACGCGGTGGTGGTCAGGGGGTGAAGCGGGTTGTGGGGGGGGAGGTGGAGGGGAGCGGTGGTGCAGCGGTTAGCGCTACGCTGCGCTATGATTCGCGCTGACGGCCGACGCCAGTGACGATTATCTGAACCGGTCCTGGGCCTCCCCCAGGTCGACTCGGCCTCAAATGAGCACCTGGTGTGGTGCGTAAACATGGCCGGGCGTGGTGCTGGCCACCTCCCCCCCTGCGTGTGGCGGCCTTCACAGGTGCTACTCGCTAACAGCACTTGCCCCAACGGTCTGTTGAGGCTACACGGGGGACCTTTGCCTTCATCATTGCGTTGCCCCCCCCCCCCCCCCGCCCCCCCCCCCCGCAGGTGCCCGGGCGAGGGAATCCGTTTGCGGAGGAGGCGCGGGCGATGGAGGAGGGGCTGCGCTCCCTGCGGGAGGGAGACCTCTCAACCGCCGTGCTCCTCTTCGAGGCGGCTGCCACTCAGGACCCGGCCAACGCAGAGGTTCACCGACATGAACCCCACTCCTCCTCCTCCCCCTCCCTAATAATCATCATCATCATCGTCGTCGTCGTCGTCACCATCAGCAGGGTCCTGGCGACGCGGCGTCCATGCCACCGCCCGTTGCTGGAGGTGTCGCGGTTCGGGCTCGGGCAGCCCGCCTGGCCGCCCTGGTTAATGCTGCGGCGGGGGTTCTGTATTAATGCCGCGGAATGATGAGCAGCCGCCGTCGGCTTCACTCGCGGCAGACGGCAAAAAAAAAACAAAAGATGCCCTTGTGTGCCGGCATCACAGTCCAAGGCAGTCGCCCTCCAACAACAACAGAGGGCGGAGGAGCGACGCTCACAAAAACGAGCGGAGCGTCGGGTGGCTAAAGCACAGCAAGTTGGCACAGTAGGCGGCACAGGTGGTGCATCAGCCAGTTATCTCAGTCAGTCTATCCGTGGCACCTGCTGGGTCTGCTCCGTGACCTGCCAGCGGGCGTTCAACACTTCACATGGCCTCAACGTGCACATAGCCTGGCACGAGCGCGGTGGTGACGTCACCGCCACTTAGTGGCGAATGGCAGTTGTTGTGGTCTGTGTGTCAGTGTGTGTGGTCTGTGTGTCAGTGTGTGTGGTCTGTGTGTCAGTGTGTGTGGTCTGTGTGTCAGTGTGTGTGGTCTGTGTGTCAGTGTGTGTGGTCTGTGTGTCAGTGTGTGTGTCTGTGTGTCAGTGTGTGTGTCTGTGTGTCAGTGTGTGTGGTCTGTGTGTCAGTGTGTGTCAGTGTGTGTGGTCTGTGTGTCAGTGTGTGTGTCAGTGTGTGTGGTCTGTGTGGGGAGCGGTAGTGTAGCGGTTAGCGCGCTGCGCTATGAACCTGGCGACCCGGGTTCGATTCCCGCTCACGGCTAACACCAGTGACGATTATCTGAACCGGTCCTGGGCCTCCCCTAGGTCGACTCAGCCTTAAATGAGTACCTGGTGCGGTGTGTAAACATCGCCACTAGGGAGACAAAGGCGGTCGGGCGTGGTGCTGGCCACCCACCCCCTCGTGTACCGTTCCGGCCTTCATAGGTGCTCGCTAACAGCACTTGCCCCTACAGTCTGTTCAGGCTATACGGGGGATCTTTGTCTTTATCTTTGGTCTGTGTGTCAGTGTGTGTCAGTGTGTGTGGTCTGTGTGTCAGTGTGTGTGGTCTGTGTGTCAGTGTGTGTGTCAACTTGTAGGGAGCGGTCGTGTAGCGGCTAGCGCACTGTGCTATGAACCCCACATCCCACGTTCAATTTCAACACCGGTGACAATTGTCTAAACTGGACTTGGGCCTCCCCTAGGTCGACTCAGCCTCAAATGAGTACTTGGTGCAGTGTGTAAACATCGCCACTCGGGAGACAAAAGTGGTGCTGGCTACCTACCCTCGTGTTCAGTGCCGGCTTTCATTAGATGCTCGCTCACAGCACTTGCCTTTGCGGCCTGTTGAGGCTCCACAGCGGGTGAGATCTTTGTCTTTGTGTGCGTGCGTCAGGCGTGGCAGTACCTGGGAACGACACTTGCGGAGAACGAGCAGGACCCAGCCGCCATCACGGCCCTGCAAAGGTCGGTTACCCTGGGGTCACGGATACTCTGATGGGATCAGAGATACTCAGTTGGGGTTACGCCATTCATTTCCATCGGTTGTTATAATTGACGATATCAACATAATATTTTCCTCATTTATTAAAAAAAAACGTTATTTCTGCAATGACATTTTCGGAGGGGGTGGGAAAAAACTAAAACTTATGTTGCTGCAACTTTGGCGAAAGGGCGTAACCTGCAACCTGCAACCTTCACGTCTCCACCTCCTCCTCCCGCTCTGCTCCCCCAGGTGCCTGGAGCTGCAGCCCAACAACCTGACGGCCCTGCTGGCGCTGGCCGTGAGCCTCACCAACGAGTCGTGCCAGCCGCAGGCGTGCGAGAGCCTGCGCGCCTGGCTGCTCGCTCACCCGCTCTACGGTGCCACGCCGGCGGCGCCGCCGGCGGCACCGCCGGCACCGCTGGCTCCGCCGGCGCCTCTGGCACCGCTGGCACCGCCGGCACCGCCGGCGCCCGTGCGCAATGCGGGGGGAGATGCTGCGGGGGAGAGGCCAGCGCCGGGCGGAGACGCGGTCGCCACCAGCACCACCGCCACCACCGCCGCCGCCACCACGCAGCCCGCGCAGCCGGTGCCAGAGTGAGTTCTCACTCTCCCTCTCTCTCTGGGGGGGGGGGGGGGGGGGGTTTGGTGATGTTGGTGGTGGTGATTTTGGTGGTGTTTTCCCGTATTGTGAGAGACATTGATGATGTGCCTACCAGCGACAATTACATTAATAATCACTCTGTGTGGATGTTAAGTAGATGTGATTACACTGGTAATGCGAACAAAGAAGGTGCCAACGATGACACTGATGATGCTGATGACACGGAGGATGATGCTGATGATAACGCTGATGATGACGGTGCTGATGATGACACTGATGGCGATGCTGATAGTGCCGATGATGGTGCTGATAATTGCCGGTGACGGTGCCGATGACGCTGATGACGGTGGCGATGACAATACTGATGGTATCCGTGACGACGCTGGTGACGCCGCGCGCTTCCTCCGCGCAGCCTCCTGCGCGAGGTGAAGGCGCTCTTCCTGCTCGCCGCCCGCGATGGCCGCGCCCCCCGTGACCCCGACCTGCAGACGGCGCTCGGGGTCATCTTCAACCTGAGCGGGGAGTACGAGCGAGCCGTCGAGTGCTTCACCCACGCCGTGCACGCTCGCCCCGAGGTGCGTACTCGGCTGCGGCAGCAGCACGGCGCCGCGTACTCACGGCGGGGGTGAGAACTCACTCCGGCGGGTACTTCTGGTGGCGTGCGCTCTTTGCGGGTGTATTCACGGCAACGTGTACTTATGGCGGTGAGTATTCACGGCGGCGAGTACTTACGGCGGCGTGCCGCTCATTGCGGGCGTACTCGGGTTCGTCAAAGACAACCGGTCAACCGGGAACCGTTCTCAGAATCGACTAGCGCTTACAAAAGGCCAGGATCCCGGTCACCCGTCTCCCAGCGGAACGTTGGAAAGGAACACGCTGACTGGCTCGCGCGGCCACACAAACCTGCACGCCCCCCCCTCCGTCACTGTGACGTTACATTTGCCCTCACTTCTCCAGTTTATAAGGCAGAGGTGCAGCCCTGCAAGTGCTCACTCATGCCAATGCCGACGTAAAGGGCCTCTACTAGATGGAGCTCTTAAGTGGTGGTTCTGTTGGTCTACTCTTCCACGCTGCCGAGATGTCCTCAAAGAGGTAGGGGTAACTCACACTTTACCTGACTGCGCACGCACACACACACACACGCGCGCACACACCAACAACCGCCATTCGCCACTAAGTAGCGGTGACATCACCACGACGCTTCTGCCAGGCTATGTGCACGTTGAGGCCACGTGAAGTGTCGAAAGTCCGCTGGCAGGAGGTCACGGGGCAGACCCAGGTGCCACGGGTCGACTGACTGAGATGAGTGGCTGTTGCACCACCTGTGCCCCCTACTGTGCCAACTTGCTCACTGATGAGACTTTGTCCAGATCTTTCAAGGATTTGTGAGCTTCTCGCACAATCCAGCCTGGTTAAGCCCAGGATGGATCGTAGGCAGGCCAGCTTAAATGTTTCTAACCGGCGGAGATGTTCCATTTGGGGTGTTCACATTTCGCAAGCGTAGAGAAGGGAGGGAATGACCGTGGCCGAGAAGACCTGAAGCGCACACACGCTCGCACACACGCATGCACACACGCATGCACACACACACGCACACACACACGCACACGGCCGTGTGTGCGTACGCGACCCGAGTGGCTGCCTGTAGTGGAGAGGCACTTCAGCCAGCAGCGGCGCGATTAGGAAATTGCAGGGCTGCGCCTTTACTACAGGGTGTGGGCTCCCCCCCCCCCCCCCCCCACCCCACACAGGATCACCTGCTGTGGAACAAGCTGGGGGCGTCGCTGGCGAACGGGAGCCGCAGCGAGGAGGCGGTGGAGGCTTACTACCACGCGCTGGCGCTGCAGCCCGGATACGTGCGCTCCTGGTACAACCTGGGCGTCAGCTGGCTCAACATGGGCGCCTACAGGTCAAGCCGCCCCCCCCCCCAGCCCCGCCGCTCCACACCCACCACAACCATCCCCACCGCAAAGATAGAGACCGCCCCCCCCCTCACCGTTGACTTGTACACAGCGCGCCGGGTACTAATTTAAGGCCCAGTTGACCCAGGAGGTGGGGGGGGGTCCCGAGTGCGACGACTTTCAACGAGTAGCGCACCGTCGCACGCCATCGTAGACAGTGCCAGATTGTCCGAGTAGCACAAGTAGCTGGATATGTAGCTATGGGCCCCGCACTTTGAAGGGCCCCACGCTCAATGCTTTCAAGCTATCAATTCCGGTTCAGTGATTCTGCACATGCTCTATTACTATAGTACTATACCGCCTTCAACATTTATGAACGACTGGGTGTTTAAGGTTAGCGATTTGTCATTATCTGGCTGTATAGCAAATAGAAAAAATATACAATTACTTTACTGTGCAAGTAAAAAATGTGTGTGTTTAAAATATTTACGTGTTATTTATTTATTTAGGGCCCCTTTATAACATCACGCTACAGGCTCCGCACTACCTTAATCCGGCACTGGTCGTAGAGACACCGACTCTTGGGAACCGCAGACGAGCAGGAAGGTTGCCGCGTGGATCAGCTGGCGCCAACACTGTGCCCAAGCTCTGCCGTCCTCTGTCACGTCAGTGGTTCTCAGCCTGGCTTGGCGATTGCATGACCCCCTCGTTCAAATTTGTTTTAAACCGAGTAACTCCCTTGGCCTAACCCAACGTGGTTCTGAGGAAATAAATGTACGAATTTTATCCATACTACAGGTTTTATTTTGGCTTAGATCCACGTAAATATATACTTGAACCAATTGTCCATTGTGTAAGGTATCATCATCCTAACTAGCGAGTTAGTAACTGCAAGCGAGCGGACGCTCTGCGTGCGTGGCGTCATTCGATCACGCTCACCGGTTACTCTTGGAAACCCGCGTTGTATTACGATCAATGAGTTTATAAACGTCTTTTATATTGTTCTAGATGACCATGTAGATTACACTTTTATTAGTTATTTTATCTTGGCAGATTCACACAACGTGATTATTCGCCAACGATATAGTTTCACACAATTATAAGTCGCCTCACGTAGCCCCCCTGGGACATTGCCACGTGTACCCCCCAGGGCACCGCATACTCCCGGTTGAGAAGCCACTGCTCTATGTGTTAAGGAGTTACCGGCTACTTAATGAGTTTTAACGTACGGGAGGAAGACAAAGACCTCCCGGAGAAAATCCATGCGTGCGAGTTCGATTGCTGCTCGCGTCTAACTTTACAACTTTTGCGTCGATTATCTGAACCGTCCGTGGGCCTTTCTCTAGGGTCGACTGGGCCTTAAATGAGTACCAGTTATGCAGTCTGGCTCAGGCATCATCACTGGGGGAGACAAAGGGGCAATCGGCCGTGGCGCTGGCCGCACCACCCACTCGTGTGCCATGCGGGCCTTCATAGCTGCTCGCCAACAGCGCTCGCAACGACGGCCTGGCAAAGGCTACGCGCAGGGGGGGGAGATATTACAACGGCATTTAACAGTTTCACATTGCAACGCCGTTCTTGTAAACGTGAATCTCACGTTCGCCGATGAACCCGCAGACAAAGCCGAAAGGCGGCCGCGGCGGCGGCAGCAGCAGCCAGAACCCAACGCTGACCAATGATTGCCCAAGCTCTGCGGTCCTCCGTTGACAGCAGCCCGCCTTTGCCTGTGGTCGTGACCCTCGGGTGCAGGGAGGCGGTGGCGGACCTGCTCGAGGCGCTGGTCAAGCAGCACAAGAGCCTCGGGAGACGGCGCGAGGGGGCCGCGATGTCCGACAACATCTGGGCGGCGCTGCGCCTGGCGCTCAGCGGCATGGGCGAAGTGGAGCTGTGCCGCGCGGCGGATGCCCGCGACGTGCAGACGCTCATACAGGCGTTCACGCAGCACTGACGGCGGCGGCGGTGCCGGCCCTGCTACGGGCGGCGGCGACAACAGGACCGCGACGCTTACAACTTCAGACTTGGGACCAGGCGCTCGTATGGGCATTCAAGCAGCACTGACGTGATGCCAGCCGGGTGCGGGCAGTGACCTCGTACAGGCGGCGGCGAGGTCAGCGCTTGAGACGAGGCGCCCATACGCAGGTGGTTGGTGACGTCAGTACTGTGAGGCGACAACTTCAGACCAGGCCCCCATACAGGCATCCATGCGCCACTCGTGATGGGCGCCAGGAGGCTCATAGAGGCAACGGTGAAATTAGGACTGTGACGTTACAACTTCAGACAGGATGCTTGTACAGGCGTCGGTGATGTTAAATGACAAAAACACTCGCACAGACGAAAGTGACTTGAAGATGTCCATGCGGGCAATGGTCAAGTCGAGACTTGAGCCAAGCTATTGACATTCGCAGGTAGTGCGAATAACCACACATACTGGCAGCAGTAGCATTTGGAATCTCATACAAGCATCCACCACGTCTCGTATATATGTTGATCTGATGACTGCTCCTCATACTGGCAGCAGAGCCGCGCTCCTACGGGCGTTTGTTTTACTACGGATGAAAATCACCACCGATGTTAACTTCAACTTAACTCATTCATCCACAGGAGAGCCTCCTGAGTCTCAAGACTCTCAGGGGGGTCCTGCCGTTGGGATGTTGGGCCCCCCCCGATTCCCTTTTTTACTCACGTTTTAGTTTTGTGTGGGAGAAAACCGGAGACTCCGGAGAAACCCCACCACACTGAAAGGAAAGCAATTACAAATGTCCGTAATGGGTTCACGAATCCGCTTGCAGGGGTCAGGGTTAATCATTTTCGTTGCGCATTGCCAGTGAGCACCAACTCTGTTCGCTGCGTGCGACCGCGACATCAGTGGCGTGGCTCGAGTTCTGCGGTGGTAAAGCCAACCTGGCGCCTCCTGAGCCATGCCGTGCTGGCTCGGCACGGCTCAGTTGTTCAGTGGAAAAAGATAAAACGCGTATCCGAGTCAGCGGGGACCAATTGACCAATGTTGACTTTCCACCAGGTGCTCCACTCTTTATTGGTCCTGGAGGGATGATGATGATTGGCCAAGGCAAACCATGGCTAGGAAATGTAACTTACGACCGTGTGAATGCTCTGACCACATTATATACCAGGCCTGATCTATATAACAGGGTATAAACACAAATCTGCCCCATTTATCCCAAAAAATGTAAAATGTGTTAACTGAAGCCTTCTGTGTCTTTGTGGGTGTTAGATGGAGAGAGCGTGGGGTCATCTTCAACTCACATGAACTGAACCACGAGGGGAGGGGGAAGGTGGCCTTTCCTCTTTGTCAGGAACCCCGATCAACTCTTGATTATTTTGGGTAATCAGCGAGAACGGTGGCCCGGAGATAGTATAAAAATGAGAATGTCGGATAAGATAGATAGTATAAAAAGTAAACACACGCACGGTACATTCGCGACCGAGATAATTCGGCCACCCATAAATTGATCGATGGAGAGTTTTGACGGTGAATATCCGGAGCTGTGATCGCAGGCTCGGACGTAGCTTGAAGCTTCATTGATGAGAAACGAGCGTTCAAAAGTTACTCCGACCCGCAGTGTAGCTTTTGTGGCATTACACCGTGGCATCGCTGCTCTTCAAGCGGGGCGCCGTTCACTTCCACTTACCAAGACTTCGAGGGATTCGGTGCCAGTGCGGTGGCACTTGTCGCCCATCTCGGGATTTTCCTGCTCGCCAAACCCCTCCAAACCACCCCCCCCCCCATTTGCCTTAACACGGCCACCTCCCAGCATGCAGCTCCCAGCATATTTGCATTGCCAGCTTCTCGCAAACGCACGGGCGCTTCGCTTCGTGGCCTGTAGTGCTGGCCTCCCACAATGCGGCACCTGCGTAAAGTCGAGTGGGTTACCGCAGCCGTGTCGCTAAAAGGGCGGTGGGGAGGGTGGGGGGGATCAACGTCCCGCTCTGCGATCGTGACCAATTCTTCCGTTTCTCATCAATGGAGAAGCAGCGGCATGGCCCGGACTTTGCGACAGTCCGGGCCTATGCCGCTGCAAATGAGCACGCAGCTATGAAGCACCGGCCGTGCATTTTTGGAACCGACAAATCTCCGCACCGGGATGCCGGTCCCCGTACCAACGAGACAAGTAAAAAAAAAAACTTATAAAACCAAGCCGCCACCCCCCCCCCCCCCGCCTTGAGCTGTAGTTTGCCCGCGACCTCCTCTTCTAGTTACGGATGTGGTTCTGGCCCTTGTGCGCCCGTACCGGCCTCTATAGATGCTCGCCAACAGCGCTTGCCTCAACAGTCTTATTAACGGCTGCACAGGTCAACTGTCTTGTCCTATGTGGCCCTCGGCAAAGGACAAACTTGGCCACCCCTGCCCAAAGCCATCTTTGTCATAACAAGATTGGCCATAGTGGGCCGCACGGGCGGCCGGTGGGAGGGATGGGGGGGCCACTGTAGGCCGCAGGTAATCGCTATTGCTGCTGTTAACCTTCCAAACCCCTATCGTGTGCGGTGTGCTCTTCCAAAATGCACTTTGTTATCGTCTTAGGACACCTCAAGAGAAATGTATCATTTTGCTGTAATAATCTCTTAATCAACTGTGTGCAATAATATATTCTAAAGTGGAAAATGTATAACGTATAAAATAAACCCTCGAGCAACTGAAGGGGTGTGCTATTTTGTAAAAGTGTATTCTACCAGGGTCGGATGAAGGTTCTTGTAGGCCCTAGGCACTTCTATTTCATAGGCCTTCAGTGCTAACTCTCTAGAGTTGGTGCTGCTGCCCCATGTCACTACCGCCACTCGCTTGTTTCACGCCTACTTCGCCCAGCCGCTGGACAGACGTCGTTACCGACACGTTCATTATTTAGTCGGTGCCCTCATTCGATGGCAGCGTGCTGTGTGCCGCAGATTTTATTTGAAATTATTGCAAAAAGAAACAAGGCAAGCCTAAAGATATTATAAGCAAAAATGTTTTCAACAATTGTTTACTCTGATTATATATAAATTCGGATGACTTAGCTTTTAAAGGATGCCGTTCATTTTCATCGATAACAAATTCAACGTTCTGGCAGGACGACCGCGTGGTGAGCGCCATGTTGCTTTACTTTCGTTGAAGCTTAAAGATGAATATTCTTTGGGTCTTTCGGTAAAGTCACGTAGAACAAAACAATGTAAGATTTGTTTGACTTCTTTTAGGTGTAATATTCCTTACTTACGAGTCAACGACTTGTTACCACTGCAAAAGAGATTGCAACGAGCAGCCAACAAATTGTGGCAAAAAGAATGAATACATTGTCAGAATTACTGCATATAACCCTCTTCTTGGTTCTTTCGGTAAAGTCACGTAGAAGGGAAGTAATAAAATAATAAAAATAAAACATAATAAAATAATTCTCACGACGTTTCGGCCACAACGCAAGCAGCCGTCCTCAAGTGAAGAATGAAACACCACCAAGCTTGGAGCGTATATTTAAGCTGGGTTGGAGGGGGGGAGGTGGGAAGAAGAGCGCCTAGACAAAATAATTTGCATATCAAGAGGGATTTAGCATATGGAAAATGCGTAGGAGGTGGGCGGGGGGGGTTTCAAATTAATATTATGCCCGTGCATTATGCAGGATTAGCAGCATCAAAGGGAGGGGGAAGGGGGGTAGCATTAACAAAGGAAAGGAATGTTAATAGTATGTAGCTGCAGTTGCTAAACAACCACGTAAAAAACTAAAGTATAAACTACATAGCATCATCAGTATACTTACTATACTCTAATAATAAACTGAGTTACTAACAGTAAGTAATACATTACAATTCTACGTCGTAAAAATTATATAATATGCTTCCATTTAAACTTTGTTCTCTTACATCACACGAGTCTACACCGTACTATATACTGCCATAGACAAACCCAACATTAAATTATATACTGTATTTCTATAAACCACCTTATACATTTTAATATAACACTGTATTATTCTACCCACCCTAATGTGTATGTTTACTATACAATTACGATACTATATATTACTTTGTACATTGTATTAAGCATATAAATGTTATACTATTTGTTATTATACGCTGCACCATTGACCGTCGTGTCAATGGGTGAGTCGTGGGGGAAAACTTGCAGCGGAGCAAAGAATCCATTCCCTGCGGAGAATACAATGCCAGTGAGTGGAACGCGGTCTGAAAGTCACCGTAAACGTGAACACAATCAGTTAAGATCCGAAATGGTTTATTACGTCCTGCCAATGATTGCTAAGCCAGAATCCATCTTCTCGGTTGAAATTGTCTCTGTGTTTGTATATGTGGATCGCCTAATGAACGAATCTCTCATGATAGCCAGATGGCTTGCAGAGAACCTCTGTCTTGGAGAAGTCAATGTCATGTGAGCCCACTGAGTTGTAACAGTGGTCTGCCACGGCTGAGGTGTTTGTCCTACCGTGTTTCAGGTCTGCTTTATGTTCACGGATGCGGTCCGAGACATATCGTTTGGTTTCTCCAATGTAACTGCTACCACAGAGGCAACTTAATTTGTAGACGCCAGGGTACTGTATGTCTGGAACCACATCTTTTACAGACGGGACCAGATCACGGATTTTATGTACTGTGTTGAATCGGACCTGGATCTTGTGTTTAATCAGGATTTTTGAGATATTTTTTGTGACCCCAGCAATGTAGGGTAAGGTGATGGTCTTGAAAGGCTCCTCAACAGGATCCTTCTTGATGGTTGGAGTGATGGCTTTGCGGATTGTGTAGTCAGAGTAACCATTAGCCTTAAGAGCTTGGCGTACGTGTTTGAGTTCACTGGCAATGTGTTCCTGGTCGGAGATGCATTGGGCTCTATGGTATAGAGTCTTGATGAGGGAATTCTTCTGGGATGGATGGTGGTGGGAATCCGGTTTTAGGTAAGCATCCGTATGGGTGGCTTTCCTGTAGACAGAGTGGCTCATTGAACCATCAGGTCTCCTTTTAATTAGGACATCCAAAAAGGGTAGCTTGCCATCTTTTTCGACTTCCATGGTGAATCTGATGGCTGGGTGTATGGAATTGATGTGGTCGAGAAATTGGTCTAGAGCAGGCCGGCCATGTGGCCAGATGACAAAAGTATCGTCTACGTACCTCTTCCACCCACCTCCTACGCATTTTCCATATGCTAAATTCCTCTTGATATGCAAATTATTGTGTCTAGGCGCTCTTCTTCCCACCTCCCCCCCTCCAACCCAGCTTAAATATACGCTCCAAGCTTGGTGGTGTTTCATTCTTCACCTGAGGACGGCTGCTTGCGTTGTGGCCGAAACGTCGTGAGAATTATTTTATTATGTTTTATTTTTATTATTTTATTACTTCCCTTCTACGTGACTTTACCGAAAGAACCAAGAAGATGAATCCCTGCAGTCACGAAAGGTTTAAATCGAAATTTACTGCATATAAGTTGCCATATTTCCCCAGTTTACCTTAGAAGCGGCAGGGACTCGGGCTACTTGGCTATTTTTGGTTAAATTAGAAGAAAAAAATTGCGCATTAGGTTTATACTTTAAATTCTAGTATCATTGCATTTTTCCTTTCTTAGTAGTCTCTTATATTCCTGTTCAGTCTAGCTGTGCAGATTGTAATTGGCTCCTCGCTTTGTGCGTTTATTTAAAATAATTTACTCATGTAATTTCCTCCACTGAAAATTTGCTATATTTTTGAGAATGTAGTATGTTTTAATTTGAGGTGATCCCACCCTTCAGTCATCCAATGTCAGATGGACATAAAATAAAGCCTGAATCAGAACACGAGAAGATGCAGAACAAGAAAAAAAGCATGAAGCATTGAAATAGATCAAGGGATCTATTCTAAAAGTTCATGAACAAGGATGTGAAAAGTGATAGTTCAAAGCTCCATTGGAATCATCACCATTAATACAGTTGGATAATGATAGTGAACCTTGTGAAAATGTTGTTCTTCAAGCAGAATCTCATTCGCACATAAGAGGTTTGATCAAGTGAAGAACAGGCGAATGCCCCTTTCGAAGCAGATGTGGTGGAATCACAAACTCCAAAGTAAACATCGGATGCAGACTTTACTCGTAGGCCTGGCGGTGATTCTGCACTGGATAGAAGTCGCTGCAGATTTGAGATCCTATTTTGCTGATATCACGCCATCTCAGAATGTTGATTCTCACTTTTCCTTAGGGGCCATCCATTTAGTAGGTACGCAAAAATCTGTCAAAACTTGACCCCTCCCACTCTCCCTGTACGCACGCGTACTTTTTACCCCCCCCCCCCCCGCACCTGCGTACGTATGCTTGACACCCCCGAATAGACGACTGAACCCAGTGCGTCACCTGTTCGACTGAACCCAGTCGAACAGGTGACGCACTGTAGGGATTTCGTGAACACGCGCCGTGTCTGGCTGGAGCACAGCAGCGCGAGCTGCAGTCTGCTGGGCCGCCGTCTCAAGATCCACAGCGTCGCTGGCGTCATCGTCGTCCAGCTTTTGAGTGTTCTGTCAGAAGACGCAGTCGTGTGAATGCACTCGTGTCGTTTGACACTGGCCTGCGGCAGCTAAAATCTTGAGCCAGCGGCAGTCTGCAGTGAGGCCAGATTGAAGGATGTGTAATCCATGGGGCAGGCCGCCAGACTGTCAGACTTACTGCTGAGCTGCGTGATAGCTGCAGGCAGGGGTACGGTGGCATACGGGTGACACCTCTCCCACAGTCCCACTTCTCCCGGTAGTACTTGTCTGACAGCTGAAGAAATTGAACTGTGGCTCATTTGAAGGCCAATGTAGACAAATTATCGAGACTTCAATCGCCCCCCCCCCCTAGTTTCCTGTGCGTACGTACATTGTCAGTAGACCCTCCACATGCAAGCGTACGCATGTTGGTTAAACCTCCCCCCCCCCCCCCTCTATGCGTAAGTACTAAATGGATGGCCCCTTATCAGGTATAAAATTGGGTGGAAATGTCTGTAAACAAGGAATTGTTCTGCAGGCACTTGGGAAATGGGCAGAATGTCCAGAATGGCTCATGGACTCACCTTCAACTGGTCGAGTATTGCCGTTTGTGAAAACTATTTCGCAGCAGTAAGTCCCGTAAATAATTGCAAATTGGCTTTGATGATTGGAATGCAAGCACCAGGATTACTGCTAATGAACAAAGGATCACATCAAAGCATTATCCATGATGCTGGAGCACCAAAATGTATACAAAACTGATAAAAAAAAACATCTTGTAAATACTGGGTTGATGTTTTGAGGGTTGTTGCAGGAGTCACAATTCCCAATGGAAACTTCTTGGGCGGCCTTGTCGTCTAGGCGGAATTCGACCCATTGCTTGCAGATCACATTCAGATGCATGGACATCCAGGAAGGGGAATGTATATTACCTTTCCTCAACCATTTGTGATGAAATTATTGATCGCTTGGCATGAGGTTATGAAAACCAGGGTCTGAAATCATGACACCTAAGTATGATGGAATGAGCATTGATTCTAGTCCTGACGTCATACTGATCAGATGACCGTGAATGACAGTAATATCCCTGTCACAGTCGATGGAAATGTTGCAAGATTTCAATTCATCCCAATTCAACATGGTATTTATTTTCGATTCTACAAGTGTTCTCAAATCTCGTGACAATGCGAGTTTATCGCACCTTGACAAAACAAACAAGACACCACTACCTCTTTGTATATACACTGTGCCTATCCTTGCTATATATGTATTCAAGATATCTTGGTTCTGTTTTTATCATATAAACAAAACAAGTTTTCGTAGGCCCTACGCAGTGCCTATTGGATAATACGGCCTCGTATCGTATTAAACCTTGCTATTCCTCAAGCTGACACACGGGTAACTTCAACAATTCCACAAATTGATTGAGCAGACACTCGTTCACTTTGGATTTATAACTATCGCAGACCCGGAGGGAACCAATGCAGAGCAGCGGGAGAACATACGAACCCCGCACAGAACGGTTGCCAGAGTTGTGAAGAGCAACTCGGCCCCTTCTTGCCGCAAAGGCTTTGATGCCGCACCACCAACCCTGCAGTTTGCTAATGACCGTGTCTGCGGTCACTAAAGACCTCCTGTCTCAAAATACCTAAATCTTTCATTATCTTAAAGGCCAAGACTGTTTCCAAACATTTGTAGGATTTTTTTCACGTAATTCATAGATGTGGCACACAAGCTCATGTCAATAACTGTGGCCTTAAAAGGGTCATCATATGCAACGTTTCTGGCAATCGCCCTTCGTAGCACAGCACACACAGAATTAGATGGCTTGGCCAGAGTAGTTTATAACGCACCACCAGCATATGCTTTCATCCTTCCGTGGCTTTGGGTCATGGTAAAAGACGGAATACCCCTCTAAACCACAACGAAAAAGTAAGATTCCAAAATGCCTTGACGTGCATACAAACAGAAACAGTACGTAAACATTTCGTGAGCCCACAGCGTTGATCAGCAACGGCAGAGGTATTGGTCCTACCGTGTTTCAGATCTGCCTTGTGTTCACGAACGCGGTCCGAGACATTCGTTTCGTTTCCCCAATGTAACTGCTGCCGCAACCACAACTCAGTTTATAGACATCCTCTCAGCCGACAAGGACAATTCCACGGTCATCAAATCTTAAACACAAGCAAAATCCAGGTTCGTTTCAACACAGTATACAAAATCCGGGATTTAATCTCATCTGTAAAGGATGTGATTCCTGACATGCAATACCCTGGTGTTTACAAACTAAGCAATCATTGGAAGGACGTGATTAACCAGGTAAAGTCTTACCCGTGACGTTTCCATCCTACGTCGGCTGTTCTTTCCATGCCTCTTAGATCTCTCATGCTCACGTCCTTTGCATTGCACTCATGCCTTTGGATTGCACTCTCATGCTCACATGCCCTTTGGATTGTACCCGTTGAGTTGCACTCAGTCGTCGAGGAGGCCGCTCTTAGTCACATCCTAATCTCTCACATTAACAGTCACTTCAGTGCCCTCGTCAAGGAGGCCGCTCTCCAATCTTGCAGTTACATGCCAATTTCTCACATTAACATCACTCGCCCCGGCCACTTCTTTATGACCTTTGGGCTACACCACTTTCAAACCTTTTAAAACAGTCTGCCTCAGCAGCAGACCATGCTTTACCACCTGACGGACGCTTGTGTTGTGCCCGAAACGTCGTTATTTTATTTTATACCTATGTGACTTAACCAAAGAATATGGATTCCTGCAGTCACGAAAGCTTCAAATCAAGGTTGCCATCTTCATCGCTCGATGTAGGTTGACGAACGTCCGGGGCCTCCAAAGTGATGGCAATTAATTCGCTCACCAATCTTTGACGCCATTTGGAGGGCACGTGGCTTATCATGGAGGATGACGTTAAATGCCAAGACACCAGACAGCCTTTGCGGTAACACCAACGAGTTTATTGAAAAAAGGAGGCAGATGACGGACAACTCGTGCCACAGACAGTCAGGGGACAGGAAGTGTGGCGGTGCGGCCATGAGCAAGCGCTGCCAACCACGAGCGCTCGTTCCGACAACACTGACGGCGCACTGATGCAGCTAGGACTCCCGCTGGAATGTTAACACTCGCACGCACAGACACGCACAGACACGCTCAGACTCGCACGCACAGACACGCTCAGACTCGCACGCACAGACACGTTCAGACTCGCACGCTCATGTCTCGCACGCTCAAGACTCGCACGCTCAGACTCGCACGCTCAGACTCGCACGCTCAGACTCGCACGCTCAGACTCGCACGCTCAGACTCGCACGCTCAGACTCGCACGCTCAGACTCGCACGCTCATGTCTCACGCGCACACTCGGACTCGCACGCAGAGACTTGCACATGCTCGCCCGCGCACAGGGGACCACCACCGCACTCACACTACCAACACCAGACGCCATACAATACACACGCACTATCACATGCATGCTACAAACACATCAACAGACGTGCTGACAGCACACACGGACACACCATGCGCACGCCATCATACCAACACACAAGTTGGGACACACCAACACCACCATCCCAACGTGAACACACGCATACCATCACACGCCAGCACCAAACACACCACACGCACCGACACCCGCACACCACAAGCAGACACCCACACAAGCAGACATCCACACACCACACTGACACCCACAAGTAGACAACACGGACACCCCAACACCTCACAAACGCATGTCAACATGACCACACGCATGCAAACAGGACACTAGTAATACCACACACGCAAACACTACACCAACAGGCCAACACCACCACATCACTCACATCAGCACGCCATCACCACACGCCACATTCCAGGGCACATCACAAGCATAGCACATGACCCAACGCTCGTTAACAGCTCATAGAAAACAAACCAAATCTATCAGACGTAAGTAACCATGTATTCACCAGGGCCCGCTTGCAACTGTCCCCGCTGGAAGCCAACGCCAGCCGCACCCCAGCATCACAAATGTGAACTTCATTTTGTTCAGTCTCACGATTCAGTTTTAAACTGTGGTGTTGGGTGGGGGGGTTGATGATAAAATAAAACTTAATTTAAAAAAGGAGAAATCTATACGTGGAATTGACAACTTGTTTTGTCGATGGAGTAGGGCCCGAATGCGACAATTTTGTTTTCAAGAGAAAAAATACGGTCGGGGCAAACGTGGAGCCACCTATTTGTAAATGTTGGGGGGGGGGGATTGGGAAAGCCGAGTAAATTGTCGTTTGTGTATTTTCAAGAGTAAAGCGACTTCGCTTGGGGGTGCAACAAGTTGTGTGGCTGGATCGCACAGCGACTTTTTTGTTGCTGTTTTTTTTACTTTGCCGATACTTTGTCGAGCGGAAGGGGGAAAACCGATCAATTTGCAAAGTCCGCTCGAGGACTTTCTCTAAACACCGGGAGGGGGGGGGTGTCCCACGCAATCTTCATTCAAACGGCCAAACTCCACCAGGCGCCCGCCGCACCATCACCAGCCACCACCCACCCAAATCACCATCAGCCAGCCGCCACCCGCCGCCGCCACCACCACTCGTTCAAGCGAACGGTCAAACCGTAAAGAACAGTCACGCGCGTGTCCTCCCACCAGCTTCCAACGGAGTCACTCATCATCCAAGACAAAGACCCAGCCAGTGTGCTCGCTCGCTCGCCAGCCCTCCACTCAGCCAGTCACCAGTCAAGCCAGCCACCAGCCATCTTCACACACAGACGACTCCTCCTCTTCAGGCCGTGAACACCAGGCACCACCACGCTCCGCAGCGTTACCTTGGGGCCGGTCGCTCTGGTGGTGCTGCTGCTGGTGCTGCTGGTGGTGCTTGCTGATGGTGCTTGCTGGTGGCGCTTGCTGGTGCTGGTGGCTGCTGTTGGAGGTGCTGCTACTGGTGGCTGGTGGTGCTGGTGGCGACTTGGCACGTGAGCCATCACCCTGAATTTTGCTGTTGGCAACGAGTGGGTGGGCCGATTGGGTGGTTGGTGGTGGCGATGCCGCGGGGGTCCATGGGCTAACGAGCTTCTGGTTTTGCGTTTGCCGTGTGGCTCTCCCTGGCCGTCTCGCTCGGTTACCGGAGCCGGCTCCTGGTGAAAGACTCTCAGAAGGTTTTAGTCACAAGTACACGGCAGCGATGCGAATCGCACAAAAACGCGCGGGGCGACGTTATCGAGCGGTAGCGACGACGCGACACGTTGCAACGGGCCAGACTAACGCTTCTGTAGCGACAAGACAGCAGCACGACGACAGAAAGAGCATTGCGTCTAGTGTACGACACGTCTTGGCTGAGGAGTGAAGAATGCGTGCGCTAGGTGCCAGTTTTACATCCCGTGTCCAGGCAGGTTCTGTTACTTTTTATCTCCCCACCCCCCCACCTTCACTTTCTTCTGCAGTTTACAGACGCTACCATGTGTTATATTTTTCAACAGCGTCCAAATCTAAAAAAAAATCAAGGAATTAAAACTGAACTTAAACTCGTCCAAAAATCAACCACACCAAATTCTTGCATCCAACTATCTCGGTTGGGGCACAACAACAGACTCGCTCATCCTCCAGCCCCACAGCTCTCATCTCTCTCCCGTCCTAAAACGAAAAACACTAAACCCTCACTCCTCACCTAGTCACACAGACACCTCTCTAAAAAGAACCCCCCCCAATCCCCCGTACAAACCCACCCCCCGCCCGCCCTCACTAACCCCAGCACTACCAGCTCGACTTGCTGGTGTCCATGCTGGAGAAGCTGGTGCCGAAACTGTTGCCCGTGTTGTTGGTGGCAGCCGCGCCGGAGCCCCAGCCAAACGAGCCGCTCTGCCCGCCCGTACCGTACCCAGAATTTCCGGCGCCCCCCCCGCTGCCGCCGCTGCCGCCGCCATACGCCTTCCCCTGCTCCATGGGAACCGACGCCTGGGCCCCGCCGGCCCCCGCCCCGGCCGCCCCACCGGCCCCGGCCTGCACACTGCCGGCGCCGCCGCTCTGAGCCTGCGCCGCCCCCGCGCCGCCGCCCTGCTGTGCCGCGCCGCCCGTCAGGGCCGGGGCGCCCCCCGCACCGCCGCCCCCGCCGCCGCCCCCGCCGCCGCTGGTCCCGCCCTGCTGGTTGGCGAGCATGCCCATCATGTTCCAGCTACTCTGCAGGGCGGCCGCCATCATAGCCGGGTTGATGTTGAACGCGCCGAAGTTCATGTTGCCCGCGCCGCCGCCGGCGCCCGCGCCCGGCATCCCGCCCCCACCCCCGCCGAAGCCGCCCCCGGCCCCGCCGCCCATGCCCCCCATGCCCCCGTAACCGCCGGCGCCGCCGCCCATGTTGTACCCGCCCTGGCCCCCGAAACCGCCGCCTCCGCCGCCGTACGAGCCGTAGCGACCGCCGCCGACGCCGCCGCCGCCGCCGAAGTTGTCGCCGCGTGCGTAGCCGAACTTAGGCTCGGCGCTGGAGATGTGGACGCTGGTGCCCTTGATGATGAGGTCCTCTCCGCAGAGGCCCTGGGCGATCTGGGCGGGAGCGAGAGGGAGCGGCGGATTACAGGCAAACCTCGTCTTTCATTCTCACCAGCCGGTGATGGAGTCGGAGCGTTGGACCGGCACAGCCGTGCTCGCGAGAGCTTTAATCCGAGTTTTGGCCTCCCGTGATTAAACAGGGTTCTTCTCGGGTGCAAGCGAGTTGCTGTTCTCATCCCGGTGATGACGTTTCGACTGCAAATCTTTGCCTCCAACGTGCTGGATTGCAGAATATTAACAGCTGACGAGAGGGTAGTTGAGGTTTGCCTGTACAAGGACCTGGTGTGCAACGGTTGAACGGCAAGCGAGGGTTGTACGCCAAAGCGTGGGGGACTTGCGGTCATACGGCCCGTGGCAGCGCAGGGCCCACCACTTCGAAATGGGCCGCAAACGGTAGTTCTCCACCACCGTAAGAATATTAATCAACGCCATTCTTACACTCGTTAAGCCAGGAAAGTCTCACACATTTCAGGAGGGTCCTAGCCACGGTTTGCGATAGAAAAAGGTAACTGCTAGGTTAATTCCAATGGAGAAATTTTAACCACACCAAATCGCAAACAGGCCAATGCGGCTCAGCGGTAGAGCGAGCGGCTCGCAATCGGAAGGTTGCGAGTTCAAATCCTGGCTGGGGGTTGACTTAGCCCATTATCCTCCTGGGGTCCATGAAGTGGGCATTACTTTTGTGTCAACAGTGGTTCCGCTATAGACTCGCCCCCATCTAAAGAGGTTGTATTTCAACCACTGGCTCAGGGCTCAACAGAAATGAGCACTGCCTCAATGTTCATTTGACTTTGAATCAGATACTATTATTTCAATCTGGCAACAGCAACGGACTTACAATGTATCAAAGTCAGTCACATCTGGCACTGTAAAGGCCTTTGGCAAGTAACATGAGCGACCCAGCTGTGTGTTAAGATGAGCAGTTGCTTATCTAAAGGTTTTAAAAATCCGATTCGGCCTCCCGGTTTTGGATGAAGTTCCCCACCCCTGGTGCACGCAAGCGACAGACCGGGTGAGCGAGCGAGGGAGCAAGCAAGACAGCGGGTGAGCGAGTGGACGGGCGAGCGAGTGGACGGGCGAGCGAGTGGACGGGTGAGCGAGTGGACGGGCGAGCGAGTGGACGGGCGAGCGAGTGGACGGGCGAGCGAGTGGACGGGCGAGCGAACCTGGTCATCGGAGAAGGTGACGAAGGCGAAGGCGCGGAAGGGCTTGGGGATGAAGACGTCGGTGACCTCTCCGAACTGGCTGAAGAACTGGCGAAGGTCGTCGGCCGTGATGTCTTCAGTGCAGCGGCCCACGAAGATCTTACGGCTACGGAATGCGTCGCCGACTTGCTGCTCATGAGACAAGAGTAGGGAGGGGGGCGTTACCCACACGAGTTATTGTCTGGTCAGGGTACGACTCAACTAGGGTCACCGCAGAATAATTTTCTGCGATACGGTAAAACATCATCCACCACCACCGCCCATGTCGACTGCTGCCGCAACCTTCCGCTGCTGTGGATCAATCCGACGTGAGCTTGGTGGTTCACGCAGGTATGGCGTCGTCATGCGTGCTGTATAAACTCAGGGTTGCTGCGATATGATTTTCCACGATAGGATATCAAGTTTCACGATGTGATGACCATCACGATATTCGCCTACCATAACAATGCAGCTGTACAAACTCGAATGCTTGAAATGGAAAATACCACAAGTTACAGAGGAGAAAGTTAATTACAGGAATCCAGCAGTGGATTGATCCTGGTTAATGAAGATTAATTGAAAAACCTACAAGGATGGTAATGGCATGACCACCATTCCAATCAATTCGTAACACATTAAACTGACACATTTAACAGGTCATATAGCTATTTATTCAGAACTTTCATTATAGCAATTTTTTGTTCCGTAGACGTCAACATTTTTTTTATATTTTAGAAAAATTAAACAATCAATGCTCATCAAGACGTAACAATATTTTGCCGAGCATGTTATACAAGGTCATTGTGGATCTCGGAGTACCGCCACATCACGGCAACCTAACAACCCAACCCCCCATCCATCATAACCACGGTGGATAAAGCAAGAAACGTTCGTGGGAATTTCATAGTACAGTCGAAACTGAGATATAGACACCGTTCTAATATAAGCAACATTCTCATTTCACTGCTAGGGTTGGAAGATGATGGCAAACTTCTGATATTGAAACAAGTGTAATAAAGCTCGTTGAGACGACTTCTGGAATCCGTCTTTTATTCAACTTATGTTACAGTTACTTCACGCTGCTGATAGGCAGCATGAGAGGGACAGATAGAGAGACGCACTTCCACGTGGCAACTCAGAGCCCCGCTCCCGCGTGGCCCCCTTCCTCTGTTCGTTCCCGTTCTGCCCCCGTGTTGTTCTTCTCCACCCCTATTTAATACCCGGGGACACGTGGTACGTTTCAGCCAATCCTCGTTAGCCTGCATGGAATCTTCCAGGCTCCCTCGTCAGCTCCCGGGACCACGCCCCTGACTCATCTCCCCATTGGCTGTGGCCAAAGCCAGCAGAACCAATCCTTATAGCGGTCACCTTTCCATCACGTCAGGGCCACGCCCCCAGGCTTCCCCTCATTGGCTGTAAACCAGGACCGGCAGAGCCAATCACCATGACGAGTTGTGATACATCAGTGAGCCGGATATATCCTCATATTACACAAGCACACTTCAGATTTAAGCGTAGCTTGGTCTGGCTACCAAAGGAGTGTGCTTATATCCACAGCCCCCCCCCTCTCCCCCAAGTACAGAAGACATGCTTATGTTCTTGCCATACGTCTAGCAGCCGACGACTGCAATATGTTCCTCAAAATGCGTCCGAAGAGAAAACGGACCGCAAGCCAATGCACAAATGGGTGTTGCAGTGAGACCGGAACCGCTCACTCACGTAAGAGCCGTTGCTAGGGTTTATGTCATCACTCCAACTGCACCAGCCATTCACCTGCCAGGAAGACAACCCCCAAGTGCGACATGGCCGGCATGACATCACTCCTGCAACATGGCCGGCATGAAGTCATCACTGTGCCCGCCCTCTGCGGGCGGTCCGTGGCCTGAGCCCTAGTGTCTTTACGTTAAGGATTCGCAATGGACTTTTGGAATTTGGGCCGGGTAATGATGTGACCCAAATCCGTGTCGTTAAGAACCCTCCACCACCCAACAAGAGCCAAAGGGTTTAGTGGCGCACCAAATATTATCGTTTCAGCTCAATTTAGATACTGTCCAACTGCTAAATTTGTTTGTGAGGATTGTTCTTCGACTTAAAAGGTAAGCGAGCCGAAACAATAACTGTCCCGTCTTTATACGCTCGGGCAACACGTGACAATTTAATGTTTGGCTGTGTGGGGTGGTAGAGGGTTCTTAACAACACATATTTGGTCTCGTATCATTACGGGGGCCTGGCCACGAAAAACAATTGTGAATCGTAATACTGGCTGCAGGTGGTTATTAACGATTATATTGTTGTAATTAATCACCAATTTCGCAATGTTATCACGATCAATTAAAAACGACTTACGAGTGTTTCCTGACCACTCGTAAGATTTCTCCAAAATTTCTGAACGCCCATTGTCATAATTCCCTTATTTATTCGACGTTACGGCAAGCATCGTCCTAAGCCGAACTTATGCCACGAGTGGACGCTAGCCCAGCTTCTACTGGAGTAATAATAATACCCTTTGGTTCTTGCTCTGCACTGTGACCAACTCTACAACCAGAGTTAGATTCCTGCCCAAGTCAAAACATCGGTGGGGAGTGACAATTGAAGCGGTTCTGGGCCTCTCTCTTCATCACCCCCCCCCCCCCTTCACCGACCAGCATGGTGAGGTACAGTAAAACAATCCTCATGACCGACACAATGTGGCGGGGGGGGGGGGCGAGCTTTCATTCAGCAGTGGATTGCCCACTAACATTACTCGCCTTAACAGCTGACGTCGTTATTAAAAAGTAAAATAAATGTGCAGCCCTGCAATTGTTCGCTCGCACCACCGCAGGTGGGAGTGCCTCCACTCAGGCGAGCCCTGGAGCCCACCCTCTGGACAGCATTCTGGCCAGACATCATGGAAGGTGCGGAAATACCCACACTTTCCCCACCGCTCGGCACCTGCCCATCAGTTGCATCGTACCCATTTATACCGCAGGGTAGACAGGAGGAGGGGGGGGGGGATTTGTAAAAATTCCCCAATGTTTCAACAGTCGCGTTGCAAGATCGAATTTAAGCGGTGACCTCTGGAGCGCCCGGATTTTTTTTTTACCTGTATGTATATGGGCCTGCAGTCAGGAGGGCACGAGCAACGGAAGTTAATATTTTTATTTTACCAGGAAAGGCCCACCGAGCTATTAGCTCTTTTTCAGAAGCGACTTTGCCACAGATGATAGCTCAATGAAGTGGCTTATCATGTGGAAATTGATAGCAGACAAATAATCTACATGCATTTTTCGATTTAAAGCTTTCGTGACTGCAGGGATTCATCTTCTTGGTTCTTTCGGTAAAGTCACGTAGAAGGGAAGTAATAAAATAATAAAAATAAAACATAATAAAAAATTATGAGAATTGTTTTATTATGTTTTATTTTTATTATTTTATTACTTCCCTTCTACGTGACTTTACCGAAAGAACCAAGAAGATGAATCTACATGCACGTTGATTCGAAATGGAGGGAAAAACCATAGGACCCGGAGAAAAACCCACACAACCATGGGGAGAGAGACATGCAAACGCCAAATATACAGGGGTCAGTCAGGGTCAGGATAGAACCCACGACCTCCTGCATACCAGGAGAGGGAGATAAAAAGCAACAACTGACCTTTGAGTTGGGCAGCTTGCAGTCGCACCAGCGCCCGTCGATCATGTGCCGCTGAGCCAGCACCTTGAGCTGTGTCTCGTAGTCCCTGAAGCGCACGAAGCCGAAGCCCTTCGAGTTGCCCGTCTTGATGTCGCGCTTAACCTACGCGGAGGAAAGGGATGGACGCACAAACAAAAGAAACCAAAGGCGTGCGTGAAGATTTTTCACACCAACAATGGGCGTGTGCGTGCACGCGAAACGACACCATCAGAGCGTCGCAAATTGATTACGTTCTCTCCCCCTGTTCTGCACGGGGTTTCCTCCGTTGCTAAAAAAACAAAAAAACACAGCGCAACTTATATTCACCACAAAAAACATCAATGCTAAAAAAAATTACCTGAAAAGGACTAATTTGGGATTACATATAGCAACATCACCACCCTACTGTGAACACATGGCAGGACAATCCTGACGGATACATTTCAGAATCTCAGTCTTTATTTAGACTGCAGGCGGAGGAATTTGATGAGCTATGAAGCTCTTTGCCACAGATGTCCAGTAGGGGCACGGGAACAGGAGTTACAACACGACAAAAACAAAACGTGAGGAGTGCAAAATAGCAAAAATGGGAAGCAAGTCACTAAATACAAGTACAGGACTCCATTATCCGCATGCGGTTAATCCGATTTGCAGATTAACTGCGCACACACAAATTGACGTAAATAAATAACTCATGGATTTTCACTGAAGACCAAATGAATAACCTAAAAAGTTATACAACATTGTTATTTTTGGAAATGTTTACTACAAGTCACGTGCTTAAACCGAACAAAAATGTGCTCCGGTTAATCCGCAATCCACGTGATTGGCTCAACAGTACAGTGGTTGCATATCTTTCCAACAGTGGGTGGAGTTTGACTGACGTTGATTTAGGGTGGCTCTGCAGTTGTCATCCACTTCGTGGGCCAAGTCTTCTGCGCGGGAGCAGGAAAGTGTTATCATTGATCATCCGCATTGAGTGGTTTTTGGCATAGAGATCCGTGAAAATGGATATATTTTTGGATTATCCGCAAATTTTAATTATCTGCGGACGTCCTCCCCGTCATTACCGTGGATAATCGAGAGCATCCTGTATAAGTAACGTACATAAGTCCGATTTTTCAACACCAAATGCAAAAGCCTTTCCATAAGAACTTCCACTCATTGATTCCTTCACCCATGTTGAGGACGGCCTCACCCATACTTTGTTCAACCACCATGCGCTTGCAAGGTCACAACTATTCTCTTTTTGCTTCTTCCCTTCCATTCTGTCTTTCCAAGCTCTTATAATAACCTTTCAAACTGTACATACATAATTACCATCGGTACGTATGTCTCTTTTTCAATCCACTGTTGGATTAAGGTCTATCCACACCTGTGTGGGTTAATTGACCATACTTCGCTATGCTGATTAGTGAATGTTGGTAAAAGCGTGGAAGGAGAGTTGCTTTCTCTACCAGAGGCACATGGCTGGATCAGTGGTAAATTACACCGTGCCAGGACTATTTTGCTGTACTGGTGTGGGGTAGCAGTAGCAGTATTGTTAAATGGTGACCGCTTTCAGAATCGATCACCGGTTCCAAAAGTCAGTTATCAGTAACGGACACCAGTGGAAAAATGTTGTACTATCATTTCAAGTGCCACGTGGGGGGAGATGGAATCGAAGCAGTGACCTGTGAAGTGCAAATCCTGTGTGAGAACTGCTGCGGCAGCTGTGGATTGTTTTCTCCTCCGGATCCTCCGGGTTTTCCCTCCACATTTAGAATCAACATGCGTCGAGATTATTTGGCAGATATACACTTCCACATATGCCACTTCGTTGAGCTACAATTTGTGTAGCCAGGTCGCTTCTGAAAAATAACTAATAGCTCAGTGGGCTTTATCTGGTCAAAATAAAAGTGTATTTTTAGTTTACTTATTTGTAGTGATTTGCTTACCTTTCCTATAAAGAATTCCCCTGTTATTCACGAGGGATACGTTCCGGAGTTGCTTGTGAATACATACCTGTCAACCCCTCATCAGTGCCCTACCTTATTTTTAACCAATTCAAACCTTATTGGTCACCCCGTACCCCTGAAAATCTCAACGTTCATTCTACACAGACAAAAATGTTTTGCCCGTATTTAAACGGCTGTAGGCCGTATGGACCTGCAAACTCAATTTCCCTGTACAATAATACAGGTAACCCATATGGATTGACAGGTATGTGAATAGCAAATTTTCTGAAGATATTGGCCTAGAAATTTTTAAGGAATCATCTTAAATAAATAAATAAGCTATTAAATACAAGAAAATTATCTTACCACAATAAAATGGAAACAATAAACAAAGAAAATAAAATAAAAATATTCAACTATTAAATAGTTAATATATGAACGTGCCTTAAAATATGATGCTGTGCATCATCACTTTATCTCAGGCAGCAAATTCGTGATTAATGAGGGAATCCTGAACTTTAGTAATCGCTTGTTGTTGCCACTTTCTGACTCGCCCCTGTTGGACATCCGTGAAAAAGAGAGTCATCGGCCATCGGATTTCTCCAGGAATAAATCAAATATTCCGATTCTGTTTTTCCTCACTTTTAAAGGTTCACGACGCGATGTTTGTCATGTGCAAAAATTTCTACAGGTGCGCTAAACCAGTAACCATATTTTCTTTTTTCCGGTCACCGGTAAATGCAGAAAAAAACAACCCTATATATATATAGAAGTGTACTGCACGGGGGGTAGAGGGGTGGTACCTGGGCCATGAGCACTTCCCCGAAGGTGCTGAAGTAGTCACGGATGTCTTGCTCCGACGCCTTCCAGGGCAGGCCCAGCACGATGAGGTCAGAGGTCTTCTGCACCGAGCGCTTCACCTTCGCCACGTTCGACATCTCAGCCTCGTCCATCTTGCGCTTGTTGTCTGAGTTGGCGGGGGATGTGGATAGGGGGGCACGCAAGAGGGGCGGGGGGGATATGTGGATAGGGGGGCATACGAGGGGGGGGGGGGGGGGGAGTGTGTGGATAGGGGGGCACACAAGAGGGGCGGGGGGGATATGTGGATAGGGGGGCACGCAAGAGGGGCGGGGGGGATATGTGGATAGGGGGGCATACGAGGGGGGGAGTGTGTGGATAGGGGGGCACGCAAGAGGGGCGGGGGGGATATGTGGATAGGGGGGCATACGAGGGGGGGGGGGGAGTGTGTGGATAGGGGGGCACACAAGAGGGGGTGGGGGCGGGGGGAGGATATGTTGGGGGTGGGAGGCATAAGGATGGAAAGGTCAGCATCGTCGTCACCAACAACCTCAATGGGCGCAATGGCGATGTTGAAGGACTAATGCTAATGCTGAAAGCAAAGTCACTTCCATGTATGGATCAGAGCTGAACTTCACATATACCTCTATCACTACTCACAAATGTTCACCCTTATCTCAATATCCCTACTCCAACAATGAATACCCCACTACACCGAACACACTACCCCCATGCACCCCCTATTCTCACCCTATACAGCTTAACACTCCCTCTATACTCCTCATGAAAACCCCCGAAACACTAACCCCCATAAAAAAAGACTCGCATTCGACATTTAAAACTCAAAAGCAAGTAACGACGTTTCGGGGAATGCCACATGGGCAGCCTCTGCTCTGCGCACTCCGAGGCCTCTCCATGTGCCCTGTTAAAGCTCAATGGCCGGAAACGTCGCACACCGTATACTTTCCAAGGCCAGCGTTATCGACACGGAATACGTTCAGAGTTGTAATCTTTGCTGCTTTTTGTCTCTCCCCTCATGACCCCCACTGCCCAACGCAGCAACATCGTCACTAAACCCGAATCGTATTCAACTAGGCCGAGGCTGCAGGCCTAACCACCACCACGCCTTCCTCCTCCTCCTCCCATTTCACTCACCGCCCGTACCCTTCGGGTAGCTCACGATGTACATGTGGCTGCCCCAGGTCTCCTCGGGGGGGTGCAGGACCCCCTCGAGGAGGCGCACCCCGCGCAGGCTGCGCGTGTCGGGGTTGCGGTACTTGAGGCCGCAGGCGCCGGGAAACTGCGCCGCGAGGGACGACAGCAGCACCGTGCCGTCCTCCTCCGACGGGATCTCCATGGGCTCCTCGTTCTCGTCGTCCGCCACGCGCACGTACTCGGCCATGATGCTCTGCTCCAAGTTGGCGGTGTTCGAAGTGGCCGCTCGACACGGTGGTGGTGCTGGTAGTGCTGCTGGTGGTGCTGGTGGTGAGGAGCGGCCGCGTGGGGATTTGTTCCTGAGCAGAAGACAAAATGGTGGACGGAACCCGAGCGCTGTTGGATTTCATAGAGCGGATTGGCTTGGGGTGTGGGGGAGGGGCTTGCGGAGTGTTTAGAATTCGTAGAGCGGATTGGCTTCGGGGGGGATGGGTGGGGGAGGGGTTTGCGGAGTGTTTAGATTTCGTAGAGCGGATTGGCATCGGGGGGGATGGGTGGAGGGGGGGGGGCTTGCGGAGTGTTTAGAATTCGTAGAGCAGTTAGGCGAAGTAAGAAATGGGCGCGGATTATTATTCACCGTTTGGTTTTGGTAGTGCGGATTGGCCGAGACCCGGAGTGCGTAGCATCTGGACCGTTTACATTCTCTACAGCGGTTAGGATGCCTATACCGACAGCCGCCATTCGCCGCTGAGTGACTGAGACGTCACCACGCACGGCGCCTGTGCCAGGCTAGGTGCACTTTGCCACTTCGTTGAGCTACAATTTGTGTGGCCAGGTCGCTTCTGAAAAATAACCAATAGCTCAGTGGGCTTTATCTGGTTACAAGTAAAAATTTTGTTAGTTTATTTGTAGTGATTTGCTTACATTTCCTATAGAGAATTCCTCCGTTATTCACGAGGGATACGTTCCGGAGTTGCTTGTGAATACATATGAATACAATCCTGTCAACCCCTTATCATTTCCATTTATTAGGTGTAACCCTGTCTTGAGACAGACCCAGCAGGTTCCATGAGTCGGCTGACTGAGATGACCGGTAGATGCACCAGTTGTGCCAACTCGCTGTATTTTAGCTGCCCGGCGCTCCGCTTGTTGTTGTGAGCGTCGCTCCTCTGCCTTCCGTTGCTGAAGGGCGACTGCCTCCAACTGCCCAGTAGCAGCGTCCTTCACGAGCCTCCTCCTTTACAGAGGCCGATCTTGACACCCTTGGTACCAGTCACCGGCAAGTCCACTCAGCTCCACATCCTTCCGTACCGCATCGGCTCCATCTCTTCTCTAGCCCGTGTTGTGCCCGTTTAGCCCTCTCTATCTGGCCAAACAGAAGCTGCTTGGGCATGCGGTGGCTGGGGCATGCGGTGGCTGGGGCATGCGGTGGCCGGGCATGCGGTGGCTGGGGCATGCGGTGGCTGGGGCATGCGGTGGCCGGGCAAGCGGTGGCTGGGGTATGCGGTGACTGGGGTATGCGGTGGCTGGGGCATGCGGTGGCTGGGGCATGCGGTGGCCGGGCATGCGGTGGCTGGGGCATGCGGTGGCTGGGGCATGCGGTGGCTGGGGCATGCGGTGGCCGGGCATGCGGTGGCTGGGGCATGCGGTGGCTGGGGCATGCGGTGGCTGGGGCATGCGGTGGCTGGGGCATGCGGTGGCCGGGCATGCGGTGGCTGGGGCATGCGGTGGCCGGGCATGCGGTGACTGGGGTATGCGGTGGCTGGGCATGCGGTGGCTGGGGCATGCGGTGGCTGGGCATGCGGTGACTGGGGTATGCGGTGGCTGGGCATGCGGTGGCTGGGGCATGCGGTGGCCGGGCATGCGGTGGCCGGGCATGCGGTGACTGGGGTATGCGGTGGCTGGGCATGCGGTGGCTGGGGCATGCGGTGGCTGGGCATGCGGTGACTGGGGTATGCGGTGGCTGGGCATGCGGTGGCTGGGGCATGCGGTGGCTGGGCATGCGGTGACTGGGGTATGCGGTGGCTGGGCATGCGGTGGCTGGGGCATGCGGTGGCCGGGCATGCGGTGGCTGGGGCATGCGGTGTCTGGGCATGCGGTGTCTGGGCATGCGGTGGCTGGGCATGCGGTGGCTGGGTAGGCGGTGGCTGGGCAGGCGGTGGCTGGGCATGCGGTGGCTGGGCATGCGGTGGCTGGGCAAGGGGTGGCTGGGCATGCGGTGGCTGTGGGCATGCGGTGGCTGGGCATGCGGTGGCTGGGCATGCGGTGGCTGGGCATGCGGTGGCTGTGGGCATGCGGTGGCTGGGCATGCGGTGGCTGGGCATGCGGTGGCTGGGCATGCGGTGGCTGGGGCAAGCAGTGTCTGGGCATGTGGTGGCTGGGCAAGCGGTGTCTGAGCATGCGGTGGCTGGGCATGTGGTGGCTGGGGCAAGCGGTGTCTGGGCATGTGGTGGCTGGGCATGCGGTGGCTGGGCAAGCGGTGGCTGGGCATGCGGTGGCTGGGCATGCGGTGGCTGGGGCAAGCGGTGGCTGGGGCAAGCGGTGTCTGGGCATGTGGTGGCTGGGGCACGTGGTGGCTGGGGCACGCGGTGGCTGGGCATGCGGTGGCTACATGACTCAGCCGACGTAGCTGTGGTGTCACGACCGCGCAGCAACTCCGCAAGCGCCGCAATTCCCTCCCGGCCCCTGCACTAAACACGCCACCCTCACGCAGCGCACCCTGGCGGGGGGGTTGCCTGGCACATCGGGTTTTAATCCGAAGGGCCCCTAGAGGGAGAGTCCCATGGTTTCCCGATGCCAGGAGATTGGCCGACCCTCGCAGGACAGGTTACATTGCGATGCCCCTAAAATTGGCTTACAATTGTATGGGCGCAGAAAGAAAAGGTTCCCTAGGCCAACCGCAATGAGTTTCAACATTGGGGGGAGGACGGAGGGCGGAATATTAAGCAAGCAAAATTGCAAGAGCCCTTCCAGACAATGCACAATGAGGGACAATGGGTGGCCGGGGCCGCCGCCACGGCACTCGAGGAAGGACGCGGTAACAAGGGGGCGGTAACCATAGGTAGCAGCACAATTGGTCGCGCGGGACAAATAGCCATCCCAGTCCTTTGAAGTGAGGGGATTAGGCCATGGCAGAAAGCAGGGACGTGTGGTCAGGGGAGGCAGGGGAAGCAGAGCCTCACCTGTCATACTCCAATGAAAATAGCTGTTACGAAAAAGAAAAAAAATTAAGATTTTTCCACTGATCTGTGTTATAAATGTCATTTCTGTACGATTCCAATCATTATTATAGTCAAAATCGCCAAATTTGCGGAGCTCCGCTGCAAATGCAGGAAGAGACGAGAGGTGAGGCAGCGACGAGCTCAGCCTCCCCTCTGATTGCGCAACCCCTCAGTAACTGGATGGAGCGCGGGCAATAAGCGCGTGCCTGTTACGATCTCAGTATGTCACTAATGTAATGTTTCTAGACCCCTTCATTTCATGTCCGTGCCTTCCATACTCCAGGTAACTTATTTCACGTGTGTGTATAAAGATATTTAGGCTCGCTGGTTTCGTCATGAAACTGCAATGAAAAAGCACCAGGGGAGGCAGCTATCACATCTGCCTCACTGAAGGGGATGTGTCGAACACGCCCCCCTCCGTGAGGCCACGCCCCCCTCAGTGTGTGAATCTGGCTCTGACACTAGCCAGTGCTTCCCCAGCCATTGACCTCACCGTACGTCACTGGCAGATAGTGGGAACAAGAGTGCGAGGGCGCAGGTAAGCGCACGACTGGCTGTGCGGTATGACGTCACCCTGGGCCTTTGAAGTTTAGAGAATAGAAAGGGGGGCCCCAGACGATTTTAGATCAGATGTCTGCAACCTCTGGGCCGTCAAGACCCACTCCCTGCCGTCCTGCCTCCTCGAGCCGCTCGCAGCATCCGTGTGATGCCAGCGAGTGCTGCTATGAAGTTTTCTCTCGTCCTCCTCCCTCCGACTCTCTCAGCGTCTGTGGGACGAGTCTAGATTCGAGGTACGTGGTTGGACGTTTGTGTGACTGGGTTCATAGGCAGAGTTAGGCTAGGCTCTCCTCGCGAAATATTCTACCTCCAGGTAGTGTGTATTTGCGCCGTTAATAAACTTTAGTTCAGACTATCGGTGCAGTGTGATTTCTGTGTGTATGGGTAGAACCTCGACGTGGTGTCTGCGATTTGTGTGTGGCGCGACTGCGCGGGGAGATGGTGTGCGCGAGAGAGCGAGCATAGAGCTGTGTGTGTGGGGCGCGCGTGTATTAAAACGTACACGGTCGCCGACGCTAGCGCGTGTTTACGCGCATGTGTGCAAAACTCGCGCCTGCAGTGTGCCGCGTGAGTAAATAGGGCGGGGTGCGATAAACCCGCTCGCCGGCGTTTACTCAGCGTGTTTACACAACGGCAAGAGCATTAACGGCTAGGCGTGCGCGTGTATTCATACAGCCCTTTAGTATTAGCCTTTGTGTGCTAGCAGATTAGGGCTTAGCCACCCGAAGGGGCGCGCGCATATGCATACTGCCGCCGTTTCTTTTGATTAGCGCCGGCATTTGTGTAAAACACGCGCCTGCAGGGGCGCGCGCGTGCACGCCACCGCGTTCGTTTTAGTGGTGGTGATGTACGTGGGGAGCGTGTGGGGGATAACCCCGGGCGGTGGTGAGCCAGCCGAGTAGCGATGTCCCTCAGGGCGCTGGCGCGGGGGGGGGGGGGCGATCACCCGATTGGCGGGGGCCCGGCGAGAGGCAGCCAACGAGGAGGAGGGGCGAGTGGAGGGGGTGGACGTCGCTCCCCGTCCCTCGCAGGGAGCGGGGAGGCGGCCCCCACACAGCCTCGCCTGCTGGAGGAGCTCATCAATGGGACTTTGTCCAGATCTTTCAAGGATTTGTGAGCTCTTCACACAATCCGTCCTGGATAAACCCAGCACAGATCGTAGGCAGGCCAGCCTCAATGCTTCTAACCGGCGCAGATGTTCCATTTGCGGGGGTTCCACGTTTCACAAAGCGTCGAGAAGGGAGGGCATGTGACCGTAAGCGAGAAAACCCGAAGCTTCGTGTGGAGTGACAGACCAGGTAGCTTCCACACAGCAGTGTTACACATCCAATGTAAAGATAATGCCGCTCCACTGATTCCGAGTGAGACCTCTGCTGTCAAACTGGAGTCAGTTTAACACGTAGGCTTTCGCGACCAATATCCATAATACAGGTTTCTTTTGGGGTTAGAGCTGGTCATAAGCACACTGCCCAGGTATTCGACAGGATGCTCATTGGGCTTTTTATGAAATGCTTAGAATTGCTAGCATTTTCATTTATAATGTAACTTTGAATACGAAGGAACGTATGTAGGAATACTATTTTTAAAATTAAAGTTAGTAGCAGTATT